GCTTGCCAGGCAGGCGCTTTTGCCGCTGAGCTAAATCCCCAGCCCCATGCTGCCTTCTGCACCAGGCCTGTTTAACAAGCCTGTCGCCTCCATTAGAAGAAAAGGTGGTTCTTAAGGAAGGGGGCCAAAGATCTCAGCTTTTACAATGGCCTATGGCCCTCCAAACAGATGAACAGTTTTGTCTGTGGAATTCAAGACCCACGGTGCGAGCAATGAGAGGAAAAAAAGTCTAAAAAGACTTTCTTAGTTGGGGCAGGACACAATTATGAGAAAAGGATTAACAAACAATTCTCTACCCTAGACAAGAGAAAAGGGTTCTGAAGGTGCAGTTAGATTTAAATGAATTTGATGGTTACATACTCCCTAGTACATCACACAAACCAGAATGTGTGCATTATGCACAGCCTATGTTTGGGAACTACCTGAAGATTGCTCCATACATCATCTCATTTAATCTTATACCTGCTCCATGAGGGAAGTATTATTATCACTACAGATGGGGAAACAGGCTCAGAGATCTTGGGTTAACTGCTCACTATCAAACCTCTGATAATTGAGAGGCAGGATTTAAACCTGTCTGACTTCAAATGCTAGCTACAGTGAGGGAAAAAGTCCTTTCCTTGCAATGGGAGGGAAGTCGCCTGCTAGCGGGGGCAGAGGTAAGAGAGAGAAATGGACTTACCTAGTATGCGCAGCTGTAAATGGCCCGGGACTGATGGAGGGTGTCTTTGCGTTCAGGGCCATGATGATGACTGCTTGTGATCTCTCGGCCATCACCAAGCCCTGGGAGGTGCAGAGCAAGGTAAGGCCTCCTGACCCCAGGGATACTCAGGCCTACTGACAGCGACAGAGGCTTGGACTCTGCCCTGCTCCAGCGCCAGCCCACTTCTGCTCCATCTTTCTCTGCTAGGATGTGGGAATCACTTTAGTGTCTCTAATGATAACCAGTGGGGGGCAGGGCAGGGGTGGGGTGGGTTTATCTTTTTTGTTGAGTTGGAAACAAGTGGGGTGGGAGCAGGGGTAGGATTGTGGCTGGAGCTTTGATGTGAGTGTGAGTGTGTGTGTGTGTGCGCGTGTGTGTGTGTGTGTGATGGGGTCTATCTGTTGCAGGTGGCTCTGCTGGTGGCAGCTGAATTCTGGGAGCAGGGTGACTTGGAGCGCACGGTGCTGCAACAGAATCCCATTGTGAGTATAGGAGGGACTCAGCCTGTTTTAGGCCATCTTGACCAAGAGATGTGATCAGACATGGAAATGCATGACTGCACCCTAGGGTTGCCCTTTTCCTATGTAGTAATTCTTTTAGGTGGTCCCAGGTCACCCTCAGTCTCATTCCTTGAGAACAGATGCAATTTCATAGCCCCTACCCTCTACCACTCAATGGAGAGCTTGGCATGGGGCCCGACAATATCTGTGAACCTCTTGAAGTTTGAGGACATGCTCTCAAGATGTTCTTAGCTTGCCCAGCTATGTAAAGCTTGACACGTGGAGACTGAGACCAAGGTTGCTCTTTCAGTTCCAGCAGTGTAGGCATCCACCTGCCCTGACCCTGCTTGATGGATCAGAGCACAAGGGCAAGACCTGGTCCACCTGGGAACTCTTTGTACCCATCAGCTAGTATTAACAGTTAGCAGCAGTCTGCCATTCGTGTTGTATCTACTCATTCGTGTATACTTTTTACTTTTGGATGGAGCATTTTAAGTCAATCACAGACATTGTCATTTCTTCCATAAATACTTCAGTATCGCTAAGAGATAAGATCTCAACATAGAAAAATGCAGACATATAACCACAATACCAACATCACACTCTCAAAGCTAATAGTGATACTTTAATACCATCTAATCCCTAATATCCACTCATTTCCCCTGGTTGAGAAAAAGAATTCAATTGATTTATTCTAATCAGAATCCAATCAGGACACACACAGTCTCTCTTTGCTACGTTTCTTAAATCTCTTTTAATCAATATCAGGTCCCCTCTATTGACCTGCTTGGTGGCCACCTTTTTTTCCCTCTTTCTTTTGTACACTGTTTATTTGTGGAAGGCAGCTATCATTTGTTGGGTACATTTTCCCATGTTCTGGATTTGGTCAATTATACACTCATTGTTATTATTTGACATGTTCCTTTAGTCCCATATTTGCTGCAAACTGCCAGTCAGGTGGGGAAGCTTGATGGATTTAGTTTAGTTTTTTTTTAAGCAAGAACACTTTCTAGGTATGCTGGGTCCTTCTTACTGCCCAGTACAGTTACCTCTCTCTCCCATGACAGCCCATGATGGACAGAAACAAGGCAGATGAACTCCCGAAGCTTCAAGTCGGCTTCATTGACTTTGTTTGCACCTTCGTCTATAAGGTAGGTCTTTGCTTTCTCAGACCAAATAGATTTCTTTGATAAGCCAGGAATTCCCAAAGACATCAGGGATAATAACTCCTGACGGATGAGCAAGGGGTAAAGTGTCTTTCGTTGGTGGTGCTGGACCCTCAGGATGGCTCTGTAGGGACGGGGCGTTGGTATTCCAGGGCTGTAGCCTAGAGGCTCGTGCATCCTAACTGCTCAATACACAGTTGTGGAACAAATAATTAAACCGAGTTTCAGACAGGAGAGGTGGAAATACCGCAGACCTGGGCCCTCCCAACTGCCAAAGGTGGTGGAAATGTGATAGGGCAGTGTCACTGGGAGATAAGCGTCACTGGGGGACAAGCTGGACTTTCTCTTTGTGCTTTTATTTAAGGTTAAAGTTTCCCTTTTGAGAAACCCATTGCTCCCAAATCCCTCTCCACTGTCCACGTCCCCCTTTCAACTTTTATTTTGCCCACACTACGCATGAGGAGACAGAGGCCAGAGATGAGAAATCATAGGGCCTGGGTCACTGGGCCCAGCTATGGCGTAGAATTAGAAATGGGGCGCCGGACCCCTAGTCCAGTGCTCTCTGCTGTAGGAGCTGCAGCTCTTTTGTCAGGAAGGAGAAGTGCAAATACTCTCAGTGGGGACAAGAGCATCTCTGGCGTACTGCAGACCAAGCAAGGTGCTGCGGGCGACAGAGATAGCAGCTCCTCCTAGCAGCGGCGATGTTATGAAATGAGGCTTCTGGCTCAGTGCTTACCTGTAGTCACGGCCTCCCTTGGAGTCAGCACTGTCACTACCCTCATTTCCGGCTGTAACTGACCTCTGCCTAAGGTCACACTGCTTGTGACAGAGCCTAGGTCGCAGCCCAGGTGTCTCCGAGCACAGCTGGCTCTGGCTGGAATAGAGCTGTAGTGGGCCCTTATTGCAGACACATCTACTCCATCCATCTGTGTCTGTATCGCAGTGTCCTCATTTACAAATGTAGGAGTGCTGAAACTTGTTCTCCCACCTCAAAGGAGCCTGTAGTGTCAGCATGCATGGCAAGCAGCTCATTTCAGCCCAATCTCCCCCTGGAGCTAGGACCAGGCATGGCCCCAGCCAGATATCTGTCTGTCTCTCTGTCTCTCCCCGTCTCTCTTTCTCTGTCTCTTCCTCCCTCTCTCTGTCTCTTATCTCCCTCTCTGTCTCTCTCCCAGGAGTTCTCCCGTTTCCACGAGGAGATAACCCCCATGCTGGATGGGATCACCAACAACCGCAAGGAGTGGAAGTCCCTTGCTGATGAGTATGAAACTAAGATGAAGGCGCTGGAGGAGGAGAAGCAGAAGCAGCAGGCAGCCAAGCAAGGTGCGTGGGAGGGAATGGGACCCCACCACCCACACATCCAGCATGCAGTGTGCCCAGGCCTGGTTTATGGTTCCCTTTCTGTGTAGAAGACGCTGAGGCTGACAGAGTGGCAGAGCCTGGTTCCCGGGTCGAGACTAAGGGTCCTCCAGGCCTCCAGCTGGCGCTACCTACCAACCAGCAGAGGGCTGACTCTGACTCCAGGGCTGCCGACACATGCTCCTACTCTGGGAAAGAGAGAACCTAGAATGATCGGCTGGAAGGCGTTTTAGAGACCACGCTTCCAGTCTCCTATCTGGTGTCTGAGTCCTGTCTATGCCATCAGGAGCCTTTGCTGTGGTGCGACCAAGGACAGAGGCTCCCTCCTCTGCATGACACTGTCATTCAGTACCACTGCTAGAAAGGTCTTCTGTGAACTCAGACCTTTGTCCCTGTTGAAGCTCCACCCAGCCCCACTGACAGCACTGTTCCTCCCCTTTCAGTCATTTCTTTGATCAGTTGTGTGCTCTGGTTCTCCACAGGACCTGGCTTCTTCTAGTCCTGGCCCCACCCTGATGACCTCCCCTGTCTACTGCACCTCCTTACACATGATTCTGAACATGGACACTGTCGAGGTCCAGCTCTGCTCTGCCCTGGGCGGTGTGGGATGATTCCAGTTGGGCAGCTGCTATAAACATGGGGCTGCCTGATGGTTCTGTGACTCATGCTTTGCCTGCTTCCCAAGGGCATGCTGTGTATCATCGTCATCACAGACATGTATAGCTCTTCAAATTTTTCAGAAAATGGGAGCCAAGTGTCCTGAGGAAGAAGTGTCATTTCCTAATTTGCATAATTCATCTTCTGGGCTATTGGCAGGTGTCTGCGAACTTATGGTCTGCAATTTTTTTTTCCAATGCTGAGGATTGAATCCAGGGCCTTGCATATGCTAAACAAGTGCTGTACAACTGAGCCACAGCCCCAGGCCCAAGTGTGCATTTTAATATGAATTTACTGTCCATATCTTAAAATTGAGGCTTTTCAGATTTAAAATTCTCTATTTCCCGGTTTTGCCTTTAAAAGATCAAGTTCTGGCTGCCCCAGTCTTGCGTTTTTGCAGAAGTGGCTGGAGCCGAGCAGCATTTGCCCTGCTTGGATGAAGATGGGCTTTCCCCATTTTGTCACAATTTCCACTGCTCCCTGTCTCCCAGACACTGGTGCCATCTGTGTGCTGCCATTTGTCATCCTCCTTGTGCTGCCATTTTTCTTGGGAAAAGGGAAATTCCCGACTCCTCCAATTCTCCCGACACCCGGCTTTCCTTCTGCACATGTGTCATCTGCTGGCTCCCGAAAGTCCTGGAGTTTACAATTCGTGGTCCTAACCGGGTCCAAGGGAAGCCAACTGCAGCTCTTCTCACCAGCTGTGTTTTCTTCTGTCTGATTGCAGCAGCCTCAGGAAACCAGCCTGGGGGCACCCCGAACCCAGGGGGTGCACCTGCATCCAAGTCCTGCTGCATCCAGTAGCGTGACCAGGTTGCGCCTGACCAGGATGGGCTACATTTCAAGGGAAGAAGTCATCTAAGTAACGGAAGCCACAGACCTTCTTGAGACGTGAGAGTCACAGGATTTGTGAGCTGACGGAGAACTCAGTTTACGTCTTATCTAGTGGTTTTAAAATATCATCTTAGACTCGAGAACTTTCTATTGAGCTGAAACTGATATTCTAGATTTCATAGACATCAATTCAATTTTTAATTAATGTCAGATTCACCAAGCATTTTTGTCATTTATTTTATTTTATTTCTCAGTACTAAAGATTGAATGTAGGCAAACGGCGTACTACTGTTACATCCCCAGCTCACCTTTGTTCTTTACTTTCATTATAAAAGGTTTTAGTTACTCTCAAGTAGAAAATGTCCACTGAATCTCCATTCGAATGTACATTTTGCTTCATCTGTATTTTTTTTTTTACATTATTTTCTGGGTTTGTTTTTTTTTTAGCAAAAGTATTTAAAGGCAAATTCCTCACATACCCTGTCACTCCTCTATTGTTTTAAAGGAACGGGTGACTTTATAACATGACTACACTATTATGTGCAGCAATTGAGCACCTCATACCCAACTGTGGGGTACACCAGGATGAGCCGCAGACCAGCCCCTTCTTCAGGAAAAGATGTGGGAGTTCAGTAGCCACAACTGCTTGCAGCAGATGGCCCTTGGTGTCAGCCCCTTCAGAGGTTTTCTCAGCTGCAGGGATACTCTTTCTGTGTTCCAGGGTGTTCTGTACCTACCGACTGATGGAAAGTCCTCCCCACCTTGGTGCAGCACGGGCATCCTAGCTCCAAGCCCCCTTGTGGTCACCAAAGCTACTGCCAGGCTTGCACCACCGTCCAGCTTCCACGCCCACCCCTGTTCATTTCCTTCCCTCCGCAAGCGTCCTGCAGAGTCCACTGAGCCTGCTTCGCAGGGGACCCACCTTGTGGTGCTAGCCCTTAGTCACCTTCTCCCACTATCACAAAAATGTCTGAGATTCGATTTGTGTAAATTTAGTTGTTATGTTTGACTTTAATTGTTTCCTATTTGTTTGGGGGAAGACACACTTTCTTCTTGGCTCTCTCACTGATTTTAATGAATGTAAATTTATGTAACATTCTCGATTGCAAACTTCTGTTTTGATTAACAGGCATTTGGTTGGTTGTAAACACAGGTAGAACTTATTTTTTAAAAACCAAATCTAAGTAGGCTTTGGTGAATCTGCCACCTCCCAAATTTAGTATTCATGCCTTAGAAACCGATGTTGAAAACTGCAAAACAAAACAAAACAAAAAATCCCCCAAAACTAAAGATGACAATACCATGCTGAAAAGTTTGCAGAAATTGCTGTTATACTGGCCCAAATTCCAATTTTATTGTCTGCTGCTCTCCCTGCCTAGCTTTACTTTTCTTTCTTTCCTGAAGTTGTGTAGTGCTGGAGATGGAACCCAGGGTCCTCCAGCACACCAGGCAAATACTCCGCCACTGAGCTACACCCCAGGCCCCTCAGCTTTACCTAGTAGAAGTTACAGATAAAAATGGTTCCTATCTGAGGTGCACGGGCAGTGCTGATACACGCACACATTGTGGAGTGCTCTCCCAATCAAGTGAGCTAACATGTCCATGGCTTCCCAGTTACAGTAGGGGTCATAGGTGTCCTAGTCCACAACTGCTCCTTCCTCTTCATTCCCTTGCCAGGGACTTACTGAAAAAACAAGGTTAATTGTCCCATGTTCTAGATTTGCCCACTAGTTTTTTTTGTTCTAGATTTGCCCACCTTCCCACAGCTCTTGTTCTCTTACACATGAACATTAGCACTAGAACCTTCCTTCCTCCCAGACTGAAGGTTTGGCGGAAACTAGTAGGTGAAAGCAGTTGCTCTGAGGAGCGGGAATCATGTGGTTTCCCTGAAGTATAAATCCTTGATCTGCTCTAACTTTTCTCATAAGGAGGAGCTGAAGGCTAGTCAGGGATGGGTGTGGGCCAAGTTCATGCACAGTTCTCTGGCTTCCCTCCAAAAGATGTCCAACGCCCCAGAGATCACAATGTACAAAGCACAGATCTTGTGACTGCCACAGGGGGATCTGAGCTCTGGGTGTACAAGCCCTGCCCAAAGTGCAGGTCATGTCAAAAGGAGGCGAGGTCTGCCTTCTAATTTTTTTACCTCTCACACTAGATTTTTAACCTCACTGTATCTGACACTCTGAGAACATTAACCTTTTAAGAGAGGCATGCTCTTGTGTACCTTATACATAGTGGCTAAGTGGCAGGCCAGAGAGAAATAAATGTCACTGGAAACATAGGCATGAATACTGCTGGCCTTGGGTCTGCCACGACATGTCTAAGTCTCTCGGACAGCCTCCTGCTGCCTGCTTGCTGAGGCTCAGAATCCAAGCCATGCCTCCCACACAGGGGTACAGTTAGCACCGAAATGCAGGTGTGCCAGATGAAAACCACAGTTCACGTTGCTTACTGGTGCTTAACTGTCCTAGCTACTGTGTGTGATTTAATTTTGTCCCCACAACAACCCTATAGGGTAGAAGTATTACCAGCCCTATTTATCACGTGAGGAACAGACTCAGAGAGGTTAAGAAACTTGCCCAAGGACAACCAGCTAGTATGTGATGGAGTCAGGAATCAAAGCCAAGCAGCTTGGCATGAGAACCCTTTCTGAGAATCAGTTTTTTTTGTATATAAAAGACCTTTGAGTTCATCTAGCCAAGTCATCATAGTTTACAGTTAAGGAAACCAGGAGTCTAAAAGGAGCCATGTCCAAGTTCACGTAATATAGACGTATCAGTCCAGGTTGGGTCCCACAGGCCCATCCTGAGGTTGTAAATCTGCCATCCCACTCCTTGCAAGCAGCAACGCTGTTCTCCTGGAGCTTACTTACCACCAAATTAGTAAAGGGCAACAGACGCTGAGTAGTCAATCACACAGCTACCTCCCTAAGGACTCAGGTTCATGCCAGGGAGCTGTGTAAGCAGAGATGGGAAAAATCGTGATCCTGTCCTTCTCCACTGAAGAAATCCAAACAAATGTCACAGACTCAGTAAATACATCACTGACCAATGAGAACAGTACCTGTATGTAATAAACAATTTGAAAACAGCTTACACATACCATGAAATGCAGTAGGTCATTGTTCTAGTTCTTGTCTGTGTATTATTCTCTTTTCCATGTTTTAACCTTCTGGGGCTTCGTGGATATCTTGCACATAGACTGCACTTAAAAATAAAGGTAAAAGCTGGGGATATAGCTCAGTGGCACAGTGCTTGCCTTGCAAGCATGAGGTCATGAGTTCAATTCCTAGTACCACCAAGAAAAAAAAAAATGACATTTAAAAAAAAAAAAGTTAAAGCACAAGAAAAAGCTTTGGGAGGCTGGGTGTGGTGGCACACGCCTGTAATCCCAGCACGGGAGGCTGAGGCAGGAGGATTGTTGCAAGTTTGAGGCCAGCCTGGGCTACAAAGTGAGCTCAAGGGCAGCCTGAACTGCATAGTAAGACCCTGTCTCAAAAAGACAAAAAAAAAAAAAAAAAAAAAAAAAAGCCTTGGGGCAAAATTAAGGCTGCATCTTCTTAAACAAAGGGAACTAACACACAGGGGTAAGGCTTCAAGTCTTGAGAGACGCCACTTCCTCCCACGCTGGCTGCAAGTAGGTACCCAGAGGAAATGTCCCTGGCACCATATCAAAGGCACAGGTGCAGGTCTGCCCTCTAAGAGACCCTCTCACTGGAAACACCTTTACGATTACAAACTGATGAGTGGTTTTTGTTTGTTTGTTTGTTTTTTTACCTGAAACTGTCAAATCTCTCTTTGAAGACATTTATTGAGTGTGCTGGTGTGGAAAAGCTGATCTATTAGAACAAGGAAGTCTTTGTTCAGTAATGGGCCTGGGAGTTATTATGAACCATGAAAAAATGTCCTGGAGGAGTAAGAATAAACTAAGAGAGTTCGGGAGCAGGGGTGGCAAACCTTGACCGGGGACTCCTCTAAGATAACACAGGAACTGGACTCTTCCCTGGTTGGTGGTCAGCGTATCTGTCTATGAGCTCGCAGGACCGACAAAGAAAGACACACAGGGGCAGGGCTGGGGTGGTGTTTTCTGTTTAATCTCATAGTGTATTTGTTAGGTTAATTTATAAGCCGATCACTTCACTATTTACAGTACATGAGCATAGAGATTCTACAGTTTTTGTGATGTAAACAATAACCCCACAGTGGGAGCTTGAGAAAAGAAGCCAGTTCGGAAGTATTTACAGACGTTAAAATAGAACTTTATACTCACAGAATAATAATACATACAGCAATTTGGTTAAATTATCTATGAAACTATAGATTCTGACAATGTACAAATACAGGAAAACATCTTCTCGTTTAGAAGGTAAGACAGATAAATCACACCAGAAATAAAATAGGGACAATGACAACCACAATAATTAAAAGCAAAGAAGGTTTCTTCCTTGCCTCTTACAGATAAAGTATTTATATAAATAAGGACACAACCCAACAAAATGGAAAAAATATATAAAAATCCTCTACCAATTAAAAAAAATAGCAAAACTAAAAACTCGATTCTCAATCATCAGCAGTGTCCTTTAAAAAATTAAAATTTAGCTTTCTATTATAAATAACAAAGCAGATGTGTCCCTCTGTGTAGGTGAAATTCTTGCACCTTTCTCAAGAAATGCATCAATGTAATTATACACACACAGGCACAGACATGCGTGTGCACATACATACACAAGTGCACGCGCGCGCGCACACACACACACACACACACACACCACAAACACAGCCTTACACTCATGCACCCCAGGCTGTAGTTGCCTTGTTGAGCTTCCTAATAAATAATGCCCCCTACAGTAGTACCTCTGGGGATGACAAAACCTCCAAGTTTAGCCATTCCCTGGTTTGACCCTGTCACAGAGCCAGGGAAAGCCCTGGCCCCCTATTGCTCAGAATTCTCTAGGCTGCATGGTCACACCAAGAGAAAAGGGTTTTGAGTCCAAGATTTGGAAATGCTGGAAGGGACCATGGGACCACCTTGCCCAGTCATTAAGGCTAGCTACAGACGTCATCTCTAAAGACCTGGGGTCAGGGAGAGGGAGCTTGTGTTGGTTTCAACAGCAACAGCTGCCTCTGGGACCAGCAGATGCTCCAAGCCAATGCTAAATGGCATGGGGAGATGAAGGGGTGGGCGTGAACTTCTGGAGCAGATCGCACCGAGCTGGACTTCTGGATGGTCATCTTTCCCCGAAACCATCTGGAAGTCCAAGGGACCCACTGCCCTGTTCCACATAACCACCCAGACCGTGCCCCCCCATTTCCAACCTGTTTCAATCGGAATCAAAACATCCCTCAAGAAACAAAGTTGGGAATAGTTTATGACTTTTTATTCCTAACATGAAAACATTTGACAAAATTTTAAAATACAAAATACAAAACCAAAAACAAACAAGAAAAAAAACCTTGTTTGGCTATTTGGTGGACCATATCAAAGATCATGGCCAGCAATGCCCTGCCCCAGTGCTCATACCCAGCCTCCTCCTTTGTCCTGCGGGGATAAGGCGGCCACCTTGCAGAGGTTCACTTAACAAGGTCAGCAGCCAGGCTGCCAGTATTGCAGTTATAGTGAACCCCTCCCACACTGGACGCCTGGTCCACGCTTGTCTTTACCACAGGACAACTAGTGCATTTCACAGACAGTGTGAAACTTTAAGCAGCTGCTTCTGGAATCTTTTGAGCTAGTGTCTTACTGAGCTCTGAATACCCACATAGTTCACTAGTGCCATTATAATCCATTCCCAAAGTTAGTGCTGGGCGGTAAGGTAGCAGGCAGAAGAGATTTATTTGCCTTCCATCTGGGTAGCTGGTGGATACAGTCTTTGGCCACTAGGTGGCAACCGCATATTGATAAGGCAAAGTGCTGAGGTGGCAACCGACCACTGCCCTTCCCAAGTTCCCCAGGAGCAAGGCCAGCAAAGGGAAAACGGAGGCTTTTTAAGGCTTCCTTGGAGAATCCTTTGACAAATAATAATAATAAATAATAATAATAATACAGCACAGAGCCGGTGCTAGTCATATGAACACCTTCTGAGGAATTGTTACACAACCCAGGGACTGACCTCCTACAAAAACCAGTTACCAAGCCACCCCGTGTTGGCAGCTGTATTTCTGTCCTCCTTCTGGCTGTGCAAGGTGTTCTGATGAAACAGGATTTCTGAAAATCTGTCCCCGGCAAACCCAAAGTCTCAGTTACTACTGCTCTATCCCTTCAAAGACACAAAAAACAAAAGCTGCCCGAAACATATGCAGCACGATCGATGCCTCCTGCTGCCCATATGTTTTACAATCACTGGAAAGAAATGTGTGGAAAGTGCCTAAGTGAAGTTGTTTTGCAAAACAAATGTATTGCTAGTATTGTCTGAGAGCAAGAGAGAAACAGCCAAGCGGTCACAACATTCGCACTGGGGACAGTGACAAGGCTAATGTGAGACTGACATGGCCTCCGAGCCAAGCGGGGGGTTGTTTCTCACCATCCCCATGAGGAACTATGGCTTAAATTGTCCCGGGGTGCTGGCCTCCTCATCCAAGGCCACTCAGCCAGGACGGTGTGGGACTGGACCTGCCGCTGGCCGGTCCCCCTGCAGAGACCTACTCCCTGCGCCGGAGCTGCACACAGCGGAAGAATGAACCGGCCTCACGGGGAGAGATGGACTCGCCTCGCTCTGGGCTGGGAGTGCACATGTCATTCAAGAGTCTCATTTGTTAGATTAGGAAAAGTGGGTCTAAGGTCACACAGCAAGTAAGAACCCCTGGGGCTTCTCACTCAGAGATGGCTTATAGTTAAATGGTTTGTTCCACACACCCATTTCCGTTGGCTGGGCTGTTCTTAATCTTTTAACAAAAGTAGGCACCAAGATCTATCATTCCCTGTTTCCAGGCCTTCACTGGCAAAGAGGCCAGCGAAGGGGTGGCTTTGGAGCTGGCTGCCCTGTGGCTGCTGCTGCAGGAAGGCCCCTGCCCGCTGCTCCCTCACACCAGCCCCCTGCCTGCCACCCTGCTCCAGTTTCTGGGTCAGCACTCCACACAGCCAAAGGAGCCCCAGATTTGCCAGGGGAGAAGCACAGAGTCAGGATGAAGCCTCAGCGTTTACTCAGTGCTTCTGTCGCTTAATGCAAAGTCAGCCTCTGCCTACACCCCGGGGGCCCTGCACCAGGGCGCCTCTCCTCCCGCACCTGTGCTGGGCCTCGGCACCGCAGTGCGTGTGGCTTCCACTTCCCAGGCGCTCCCTCCACTTACCTCGTACCTCCCAAGTGTGCAAACACCGCAGGGACTTTGGGACCAGCTTCAGCATATTGCACATAGGTTCCAGTCGGTTTCCTTTTTCCCCACTGGGAAGGGGTGAGAGGGTCCCTCGTCTTTGGCCAGTGAAACCATTAGGCTCACTTTGCTAAAATGCATCCATCTCTTAACCTTGGTCGTATCTGACACTGGGATAGGGTGTTCCTCCAAACTCCACAGTGCTAAATCTCAAATGCTTAAAACAAGACTGTAATTTTAACATCAGTGAGTCACATCAACATCTCTAGGGGTGCCGCTGCTTCCCAGTTGAGATGACCCCTCTCAGGCTGCAGGCTCCGCTGCATCCAATTGCACTCAAGGCCCGGCCCATGCACTGGGCTTATGCACACAGAACAGAGCTGCCATTGCCTTCCTCGTCCCTCTGCTCACCACCTATACAGCAGCCTCAGCAGGCACAGTGCATACGTCCAGGAGAAATCACTTGCAAAAACTGGTAAGGTTTTTGGACCATCAAAGACACCCGACTCTGTCCTTTCCCGTGTCAGGACTTGAATACTGCGGCTGCTGCCCAGAGCATCCCCCCGTCCCCTCCTCTGTCTGCCCTGGAGCTCTGCCGCTTTTCTAAGTGCTCCACACAGATGCTGGGAGAACCCTACAGATGCTTTCTGACTCAAGGCAGTTTTCTGGTGGCGGTGGGGAAGGCATAGGGGTAAGGGAACGGGGATCTTAGCTGCACTCCATCCACTCAGATTCTTTACCTATTTGATGCATTTTCCTTCGGTAACCAGAGCCCCCAAGAGTGAGGATTCTGATTCAGCCTGTACCGACTGAGGAAGGAGATGGAAGAATTCCACTTAGCGGTTGGATCAGACATTTCTGGAAACATCAGCAGGGCACAGAGATGGGCAGTACAGCCTGCCCTGCACGGGTGGCTGTCAACACAGTCTACAGAAGTGGTTATGGCAATCACATGTAAACATCATTGAGAGCAAATACTAGGACAGAACTATGGTGAGATGGTTGCCAATGGCAGCTGCTCCCTCTGAGTTACTCCTTAATTTGGTGGGGAAGGGACCAGGGTTGACTCTTCCTAGAGAGACCCTGGAGTCTCCTTGGTAAATAAAACACAGCACCGAATGAGTCTTCTGGATAGAAGTCGTCTGCAGGGTTGGCCAACTTTAGAACTTGTAGCCTTTTTTGTATGGGATGACAAGCAGAGACTGCTGGATGCCCCTGGCAGGCATCCTCCCTCCCCATCAGTGTCCCAGCCCTGCCTTTAGGCACATCAGTCCCAACAGCATCCCCAGGTGACTGCTGTGCACAAGGGAAAATATATAAGTGGCGTCCAGTGCCCGGGACTGAACTGTGTGAAAAAGGGCAGCTTCAGTTGACCCCGAAGGTGGGGAGGGAGACGCTCCCCTTCCCCTAAAAGCCCGCCTCTCTTTATCTTAAGGAACCACCAGCCCGGTAGAACCCTTGGCCCAGTGTAACTGAGGAAGGAGCAAATTGAAGACATCATCTGACAACTCCTTCCAGCACTCTGAGGCTCAGGGCGGGAAGGGACGGAGCAAAGCTATGGAGGAAATTCTTGGTGAAGTCAGGACTGACTTCCAACTCTCCACACTCTGAACCCTGTGTCTTTCCTACCTACGGGATGAAATCTGTTTGCTCCTTGATGCAAATCAAGTCTCATGGAGGTACCAGAAGGGTTTTATTTCTGTTCCTTCCATTTATAATGTGCCTACCATGTGCTAGGCAGTGAACAGCTATAAAGGAATCTAGAATGATTGGGTCTGCTGTGGAAAGTCCCTTTTTGGTCCATCCTTATAAGCCCTGGCTTCCCTAAATATGTTCCTGTCTACTACCCCTCCCCTGCCCCACCCTCCTCAAGCAAAGATGTATGTCACAGTAGTACTGGCAGTCTTGCACTAAGGAATGGCTTTATGGACATTTTCTTTCATTGATCAGGACAAGACAGACAGGGATGAGCTAGCCAGAAACCCAGCCAGCATATCGTTCTATATGATTGATGGAAATCTCCCAAAGATCAGATCAGGATGTCGAGTAAACACTAATCAATTAGTAATGACTGCCTACAGTACTACATTGAGGATTCAGGCTCAAGGAATAGAAGTGCCGTGGCTGATTAGTTATGTCTGCATCGGCCAACCGTGTGGAAGTGGTGGCACATGTGCTGCATGTTTGCTGTTCGTAACAGAAGCCAAGACAGTTGAAACCTGCATAATTCTCCCCCTTCCTCCACCTCACAGAAAAGTGACTTGATACACAGTGGCTCAAATTCCCTGTTCCTGCTGGAGCCTGTCTTCTCCAGCCTTCTCCACTGGCAGGGAACACCCTCACCATCCAGGATAATATTAACTCTCAAAGGACTCAGTTTACCAATTCTCAAAGGACTAGGCCTGCCAGCAGCAACAGGGAACTTAGCTTATTTAATGAATCACTTTCAAACTTTTTGAAGTATAGGGCCTTTTTTTCCTTTACATACAGAAATGTCTCAGGGAACTGTGACATATGAAAAAAAAAAGGGCGGGCCATTCTGAGTGAAGCAGGAGCAATGGGGTCACACCCTGGCTGGCCACGCTCTCCCTCACGTGTGTCTCCAAGGTACCCATGGGACATCAGCTGGACACAGCTTTGTCATACACAAGAACACAAGGTTGGAAGTAAAGCCCAACTCCAATGAGTCCTTCGGCTTCTGGTCTGCTGCGCAATGTAGCCTAACTCCCCTCTACCAGCCCCCACGCAGCGAATCTTCACCCCAGCTACTGCCACAGTTGGGAACTAGAATCAGAGGCCTGGGGTGGGTCATTGCTCTGGCTTCTCACTGCCCATGGGGCTTGGGAAAAGTCATTTTGCCCATCAGGGCATGGTTGTTTCCCCTGGTAACTGGGAATAACATAGCCTGCCCTGGCTTCACACAGGATCTGATATTAGATGGGCAGCTCTTCAGGGTGAGCTGGGCACGAGATGGGGGCTTGCACTGTAATTTGACCCAAACTTGCTCAAAATAAGTCATGGCAGGACTTGGCAGAAGAGGCCCAGAAACATCTCCCCACTGCTCCTAGCTGTTGTACCTGTAGGGTCTGCTTTCCTGGGGACCAGCCTATTGGTGACCCCGGCACCCCCAGGGCAATCTGACAGGGGAGCAGCGCAGCTCAATGGCAAACACCTCACGACTGTGCATAGTTAAAAATCAAGGAAGCGATACAATAATCCTAGGCACAGTACATCTGAGCCATAGATACATTATTTTAAGGATATACTTTTTTCTTCAATTAAAAATGAGTTTATAATCCTGATTCTATTCACAAGTGACAATTTCATCATCACACACTACAGACAGGAGATGTTATGGTGAACAGGCTGCAAGTCTACGAGAGGAAGTCAGTCGGGCAGGAGGGCAGAGGGTGACTGACCCAGCACTTTGAGGTGCACCCAGGACAACCCTTTGGAAGCGAGGACACTAATGTGGCAGTGGAACGTCAACATCGTGGAAACTCACAGACAGAAGCAGCTTTGTGCAATGTAAACATCGATTTGTTTTTGAAAAGGACAGTAGTTTCAAGTCTCTCTCACGTGTGTTCTCTTTCACGCACGCTTGCTCGCTCTCTCATTCCCATATACTTCTTTCTTTGAAAACGTAAACATATTGGAAGGGCCTTGTCTGAGGTATTGAGGTATTCCTCGGAGGTTAAGGCTGTTATCAATGTAGGCTTTGCAGGGCCTCTTTCAGCAAGCTGTCAAAATCCATGGCTTCGTACTTGCTTTTCCCGGACGCAGGAAGGGCCTCCTCTGGATTGCCATCTGGAGGGTCAGTGGGAGAAGGAGGCAGTGAACATCTTATAAAGGCCAGAGGACAAGCAAATCTGCTATGGGGGGGGGGCGCCCATTGAGCACGTGTGGCCTGAGGTGCCAGAAAATAGAGATGAGCATTGGACAGTAAGTATCAACTGCCATCCTCCTGTGACATCTCTACCATGCTGTCAGTGTCTCCGGGCCTCTGTTTTACCGAGCAAGAATATTCCAGAGCTCCTTTCCAGGTCTAACATCCTAGCATCCTACTTCCCCTAACAGTGTCCCACCCATTAATAACCTGTTCCTGAGGCACATAGGGAAAGCTAACAGAACTGGGATCACTTTCTTGTACAAGGAGGGAAACTGGGTCCCACAAGCCAGGTAAAGTGCTCCTGGCCAGGACCCTGGCTAGTCCCTGACACTTGGCCCTGTACTGTGAAGGTTATCTTGGGCTCTCCATTATGCTGTACTTGTTTGTCCTTCTTTACCAACTTGGCCCCAGATGGCAATGGCAGGATGACAGAGTTGTTACCCTGTGTTCCATTAAAGGATAAAACTGCTGCCTCATCAGGGTCACCACGGAACACCCCTTCTTCAGCCCGGGCAGCAGCTGGCCAATGAGGTCATGGTTCCTACACGTCATGGAGGCTTGACTTTGTTTTTGGTGCCAGTTATAAGACAGGACAAGACGGACCAGAAACCAAAAGAAAAATAGGATGGCAGACTGGTTGTAAGGTTATACCCACTGACACACTGGGGCCTGGGCAGGGCGCGACATCCGGGACGGGCTTTAGGTCTGGGTGTAGTTGAAGGAAGCAACTACCCCTCAGGCTCTGGCCGGGCCTCGCTCGGGTGCTTACCATAGTCAGTGTGGCGGGGCCAGCGGAAGTGCCGGAGCCCGCCCGAGCTCAGCTGGAAGGAGGGCTCGTTGCGCTTCCTCAGGGCAGCGCCGTTCTGCAGGGACAGGGCCGCATGCTCAGAACACCGGTAGGTGATGAAGCCGTGCTTCTCGCCTCTGGGGGGGACAACAGGGTAGCATGTTTCGGGGCCAGTCTGGCGTACATTGTCAGACCAGCCATTACTAGAGGAGGAGCAGAAAGCACAGTGACTCGGTACCCTGGTGACGTGGCCCTGCAGTTAGAGACGGCACCATTTGTCAGGCCTGCACCTGCACTTGGTGAGAGTCAGAGCAGCTGATTTGTAAGAGGTTTGCCAGGTGCTGGATACATTGTCTCACAGAGTGATGGAGTGACAGCTGACCAAGCGACACGGGTACTGTTCTCTCCATCTCACCGTAAAGAAACAGGCCCTGCAGAGTTCAGGAATCTGCCCATAGGCAGGTGGCAGAGCAGGGATTTGAACCCAGGCCTTCTGGATGTTAGGGTGAATGCTCTTAGAACTCCCTCACATGTCCCTGTTGTGTCCCTTTCCTTGCTACTGCCATGCTTTCTCCCCTGCTCTTCCAAGCCGGCCTCAGCTATCATGTCCCCGGCTGCTAACGTGGCCTCTGCCTCCCACCTGCGGCCAGTGTTGTGCACGCCTCCCACCTGCACAAAGATACCTAGGATGTCTGCCTGCCCGACACCCAGTCCCTTCCTCCCCAGCAGCTCTGTGTACCCCGCCAGGCTCAGAGCGTCAGGGTAAGCGAGGGGGCAGCTGCCTGCAGTAGGGAGGATGTAAGCGTAGAGCAGAGGCAGCCACTGGGCAACCAGGAGGAAAGCCAGACGCCTAAGAAGGGCGCCAGGCGAGGAGGACCCAAAGTCAGTTCTACCCTGACATTTCGGTTCCACAAACAAGAAGAGAAAGAATCTCACCGACAATCCACCTGCTCTAGAAGTGTTTCAAAGGCAGAGACAGAGGGGCATTTCCCTACTGCTCAGGACAGGCTTAACAGCAACAGGCACCTAGCACACACCCAGGCGAATCGAATTTCCTGACACCTCTCTGAGCCAGGGAAAGGTGGGAATGCTTCTGCCCCTGTAAATGTCTGAAGCTGGTACTGTGTCCAAGACACTTTTTAGAAGGTCATGTGTGCTTTTCAAATCTTAACACACGATCTTTCTCTTTGGAGATTCATTTGCTTCCTCTGTTTTTCCATGTTACCTCCATCTGATATTCTGAAGAGTACGAAACTTTAAAAAGTTCTATTTGTGCCAGGCATGGTGGCGCACGCCTGTAATCCCAGCACTCGGGAGGCTGAGGCAAGAGGGTCGTTGTGAGTTCAAGGCCAGACTGGGCTACAAAGTGAGCTCAAGGCCAGCCTGAACTGCATAGCAAGGCCCTGTCTCAAAAAGACAAAAAAAAAAAAAAAAAAAAAAAAAAATTCTATTTGTATAATGACTTTCTTTTTAAAAAAAATTTTTGGGGTAAAAACTAAGATAAAATTTATCAACTGGGCACAGTGGCTCATGTGTGTAAGCCCAGTACTCTAGAAGGCTGAGGCAGGAGGACTGTGAGTTCCAGCCCAGCCCAGGCAACTTAATGACTTAGCAAGACTTTATGTTAAGAACAAAATAAAATAAAAAATAAAAAGGGTTGTAGATCTAGCTCAGTGTGAAGGTTTTCAGTTCAATCCTCAGTACCAGGGAGGGAGGAAAGAAGAGAGGAAGGAGGGAAAAGAGGGCAAAGAGGGAGGGGAGGAAAGAAAGAAAAGAAAGAAAGAAAAGAGCACGGAGGGAGGGAGAAAGGAAGGAAGGAGAGGAAAAAGAAAGAAATTGGCCATCCTTGCTTTTCCTATATCCATTGAACAAGTAGCTCCTCTGCATCCCCGCCCCTTACAGCCTGGCAACCATCACTCTACTTCCCGTCAGTGGGAATCTGACGACTGCAGATACAGCCTAAGTGGAATTGTGGCGCATTTATCTTCCATGATGTCTACATGTTCATTCATGTGGTGGCCTGCATCAAAATCTGCCCCCTTCTTAGGGCTGCGTGATACTCTGCTAGATGGACAGACGCCACCTTGTTTATCCGCCCATCAGTAGACATTTGGGTTGTTTCGGTCTCTTGGCTACTGGGAATAAGACTGCTACGAACACGGGCAAACAAGTATCTCTTTGTGATCCTGTTTTCAATTCTTTCCACACGATGGTTCTATGTTGAAATTTTTAAGGACTTTCATCTCGTTTCCAAATCAGCTGCCTTCTTTCACTTTCCCACCAAAACTACATGAGAGTTCCAGTCTCTCTACCTTTTCCCCAGATCTTATTTTCCACTTTTTAATAGTAGCCTTCCTCATGGGCATGAAGTATTACAATGATTGATAATACATAAGTCATTTTCTTGCTGAAGATTTTTGGACTATTATTAAACCGCAATTTAAAAGCCCTAATAGCTTAGTTTGCAAGTGTAATGGGAGATAATTTAGAAATATTTCAAAGCTGACAAAGTTTTGACATCTCAATTGTGCATTCATAAGCAACCTCAGCTTTCTGCAGATTCCCTGACACATAAAACACTGCTCCCCAGGTCGGGGAGGAAAAGCCAGGGCTGCCCAACAGCTGGGGCCAGGAGCACCGCTGCAGAGGATGGAAGAAACATGAGCAGCGTCAGGATGCAGCAAAGGCCCTGGGATGGACGCGTGGGCGCCAGTCTGGCTCTGCCATGAAGGAGCTACTCAGTCTGTCCAAGCTCACTCCGAAAGAGAAGTATCACGAAGAACACCACTGTCTGTGTCCCAGGAGAGCTGAAAATTTAGGTAAGAGAATGCATGACCTCCTCCCTCAGCAACCATCAGCCATGTTTGCTGCTTTTACTGGTGAACAACCATCAAGGGTCCTTTTCCTAGGCCTGGCCTCTGGGTCTAGGCCAATGGTGGCTAATCTATGGCATGCGTGCTGCAGTGAGCTGTTTGTTGTCACTGAAAGTTCTAAAAGGTTTGTCATCACTGTCTAGGCCGTTCCACTGGTGTCCCTGGGTCTCTCCCGGGCAGCCAGTCCTGGATGGGAACCTGTGCCATCCCGGCTCCCCTGCAATGGTTTGCCTTGACTCACCTCCTTCTTCTCGTCAGCACCTGGCACTCTACAATCTCGCCAAACACCTCGAAGCGCTTCTTTAGCTCCCGGGAGTTCATGTCACTGGAGAGGTTTCGAACATACACGACACGGCCTTCGTCCTGCTCAAAAAGGGACAGAGAGGGACCCGGTCACTGCTCCCAGGGGGTCCTCATCCTTGTCCAAAGCCTGGCTGAGCAGCAGTGCCAGCTGGAGTCAGAGAGAGGACAATGACAATCTCTATAGCAGAGCACCTGTTCTATTGCAGCAGGCCCTGGAGCACTGGAGTGGGAGCGGCCTCCAGTAACCGCCTGCTTACATGCGGGCAATGAGCAGGGTTGGCAGACAGGGCAGGGCATTTGTTACCACAGATACCACTGCAGGCTCCACAGTGTCTGCACCTGTACCTTGAGTCTGAGGGGCTGGCGATGGGGTGGACCTGAGAATCACCAAGGATGGGTGATTTGTGGGGGTCAGAGTGGGCAGGAAGGAAAGGTAATGAGATGGGGCCATTAGGGCGACTGGAGTCACTGTATCTTTGGTCTTGACTGGGTGGTGGGCTGATGTCACAGCATGGTACTGTGAACAAGAAGTCACCTGCAGGAGAGCTCAGTGCTATGCCAAGGACAGAGGGACAGAGGGAGTGAGTGGGAGCCCTGGCTATAACCTCTCCGCTCCTCCGGATCTGTGGTCTGACCCGGGTGAAGGTGCTGCTGGATGCTGGTGTTCCCGTGAGCAAGACTGACTGTGGTCGGGACAGGCTTCCTCGGGGCACGGGCACAGCCAGGGATCCCCCGCCGCACACCCAAGAACCACGGGAGTCGGGGAGAAAACTCAGGCCTGGGCTCCACAGCAGAACAGCATCAACAGTCAGAGGAACCCTGTGTCCCACGCCATGCTGTCTGGGTTCCGCTTCATCGAGGAAGCTCATCTTCACCCAGGCTCCTGAACTCATAAAGCCCGCCCTCAGCCATCCCGAATTGTGCTAGTGTTGTAGCTCCTGTTCATCCCTCTGGGCCCAGCTCCCCGCAGGTACCTCTGCCCAAGCACCCATATAAGCGTGCTCTCCCCGCAGTCCAAGCATGACTGCTTATTGCAGACATTCTAGTCATGACATTAATTTTATAGCACTCATCCAATCTGTAATCCCACTGTGCACTCCTTTGTTTGTGAGTCTACTGTCTTTCTCTCCCAGGGAGAGAACCACAGGAGGGCAGACCTTGTCTGTTTCGTATATCACTGTCACCCAAAGCCTAGGATTGTGCCTCTTTTATCAAACTGCAAAAGGCCCAAACACGGGCTCCAACAGGATGCTCTGTGCTCAGACGCTGGTTTTAAGAACCTGATTGCAGCCAGGCGTGGTGGTGCACGCCTGTAATCCCAGCACTCAGGAGGCTGAGGCAAGAGGATCTTTGCAAGTTTGAGACCAGCCTGGGTTACAAAGTGAGCTCAAGGCCAACCTGAACTGCATGGTGAGACCCTGTCTCAAAAAGACAAAAAAAAAAAGAATCTGCTTGCAGCTGGGTATAGTGGTGCAGCACTCTGGGAGGCTGAGGAAGGAGGACTGTGAGTTCGAGCCCAGCCTGTACAAGTTAGCAACTGAGGGAGACCCAGTCTTAAAAGGAAGGAGGGGCAGAGCTCAGCGTGAAGGCCTTGGATTTGGTCGCTGGGAAAAGAACCTGCATGCAGGGAGCTCTGCTCCTCTGGGGGAGGCACCACACGTGTGCACCCCACTCCCAAAGCACCACGCCTGCCAGCGGGAGTCATGCACTCTTTCACATTTCCATCCTGCTTCCTTCCCTTCCTCTAGTGACATCCGACAACTGGCTCCAGCTGCCCGCTGCAGGGTCCTAAGAGATTTTCTTGGAAGGCAGCTCTGGAGGGAACCCCCATAAGGATGGAGCCTGGGACACACTCTGGGAAAGGACTGGGCCAGTGGGTGCGGAGGACATAACAGACTCTCCTGGTCTTTTAGCCCTGGTCAAGTTGGGGGAGCCCTTAGGAAGCACAAGACCCAACCCCTTGTGTGTGATGAGTACAGGGGCTGAGGTAAGCGTGCAGACTTGCCCAAGGTCACACAGAAGGGGTCATGGCAGGTCTGGCCTGTGACCAGGTCAGCCTGGCTGTGAGCTCCTTCCTCCCCACCTTCTCGGTCCTCTCCAGGCCACTGAGGCTGAGCCCTAGGTTGCCACCAACTGCATACTCCACTGGTTGAAATTTGCATAGTGCCCACTTTGATGGCTTTGGGTGATCCCCGTGACTTTCAAATGCAAGAAGTGTAAGTGTGCTCTGCAGATCACAGTCCGTTATGCCCAGGCAGTGGCTGAACGTTGACAGGTTCAGCGCTTCTTGACAGCCCTATGTGCCCCCATTCACTCTGGGCTCTTGGGCCCCAGGTCACTTACAATGGCCTTTTCCTGCCGTTTCCTGGCACGCCGGACACATGGGCTTCCATCCGCACACGGCCCTCTGCCCTCACACCTGCCATGAACAAGCAGAGCAAAGGCACTCACTGTCAGGAGGAGCACAGAGGGCGGCGATGCTGCTGGGGAGCAAAGGCTTTTTGAGGGCAGAAGTGCTCAGTCTCCATCCTGCAGCAACCCAGCCTCCCTCGCAAGGGCAGCTCGGGGCTGCGCTGGCTCCGAACCCTGGACGCACGCCTTCTGCCACTTTGCTGATTATAACTCTGCCCTTCAGAGCCTTGCCTTTCACTGCTATTAGAGGAGAAAAACCCTTTCTCTTCATTATTTTAGTGGGTCTGACTAGAAAACCTTGGGAAGGCTTGTTTCCCCATTTTCCACATGCAAAATCCCGAAACATGGGTTCAAGATGGGACTTGCCTACAGGGGCGATGTCAGAGCTCAGGCAGGTCTTCCGCTCTAGAACTGCTGTTCTCCAGCAGCTCACGCCTTGGCCATCAACACACCGCGCCCCTACAGCTCCCTGCCTGGAGCTCATCATCTGCAGAGCCTGAGCAGGCTCCCGAGCCACACACTGAGAAATCTCCGGTCTGCAGGCTGCCTTGCACCTCCAGTGAGCGTTCTTCAGAAGCACAGCCGGGAGCATGAGAACGCAGGCTCTGAGTCAGACAGCCTGTGTTCAAATCCTGCCTGTACCACCTCCCTCCCTGTTGGGCGATCTTGGCCAGTTACATAAACGCTTTCAGCTCTACTTCTTCATCTAGAAAACAGGGATAATCAATTATGTCCTCCTCCGTGGCCACTTTTAATTAAACCAGAAAATGCATATAAGTACTTGGCTCAGGAACTGCTCAGTAGATGCTTGCCCTGTTGTTCTGTTTCAACCTCTCTGAGCCTCAGCCTCCTCAACCTTACAATGGGGATGAGAAGCGGATGTCCCGGATGCATCTGGAAAGCTCAGATAGGGTGGCAGAAGGGGACATGGCTTGCAAAGTTTTAAATGCTATACAATAACGGGATCATTAATTTGCAAGAGAATTGATCAGCTTGCCCTGCCTGAAGAACCCAGGGAGACTGGAAGACATTGCGGAGTTCGGTTTGTCCCCTAAACTAGCCTCAACATGCTTCCTACTGATGCACGCTCAGAAGCAGCAAAGAGAGTGGTCTGGGAAAGGCTGAGGATGATTTTACCAGGCTTGGAAAGCACTGAGCCCTGCTTGGGCAAGTGGATGAGCAGAAACTGAGATAAGGAGCTGGCGATTTTGCTCAGCTGCACAGCGCCTGCCTGGCAAGTGTGAGGTCATGAGTTCGATTCCCGGTACTAGAAAAACAAACAAACAAAAAAATGAAACTGAGATAACCAGTGAGCAGAAATAGCCACACCTGCACCTGACCCAAAAGCAGAAGGAAAACAGGAGACCCAGGAGGGTCTTAGAGAGAACATCAACTTATTAAAGGGGAGCAGGGAGCCCTGGTCAAGGTCCAGAGCAGGCAGGGAGGAAGAGTGCCCTGGCCACAGTAGATGGCTTTCCAAGCACACTTTTTCGGGGCAACAGCCTGGAGACTGGGAGGCTGCTCACCCCAAGCAGGCTGAGACAGCCTTGGCCACAGGGCGTTGTCAGGGAAGAGCTTCCCCCAGGAAAGGGGAATGAAGCCAGAAACAGAGGCCCAGAATTGGCTGCCAGAAGCCTGGGACTGATGGCTTCTGGCTTGTGAGGCAAAGCGGCTGTTAAAGAAATTGCTGGGGAATTCATTTTGACTAACAGACAACTTAGGGCTTCTCAACACTGGAAAAGTTCCTGGGCTTGTGGAAAGCCCAGGAACCTCCTAAAATTGATGTTTAACAGAGAGATGGGCCCTTGCTTTCAATCGGTTAGGAGCCATTGGTAAAGATGTGTCGATAAGCAGCCGTGTGTTTCTAAGAAAGCTCTCTGGATGCCTGATTTTTGGTCTCAGAGTACGGTCCTTCGGCAATATCACCACTGGTGAGCTTGTTAGAAATGTAGATTCTCTCACCCTCACCGAATCAGGTAAGTACCCAGGGGTGGGAGTTCCAGGAGTTTCTTAAAATGCACCCCCGCAAAGGCGGCCGTGTTCTGCTTTTCTGCTCTGGACCCAAGAGCACCATCTAGTGGACACCCAGGCACACGGCCAGCCCCCTCCAACCTCCCTCAGGGTGAATCCTGTCCTTACGACCAGAGCGAATGGAGCAGTCTCGCCAAATCTGCCAAGGTTCTATGCCTTCTGCCCCAGGTGACTTTTGGGCTGGCTTCCCCTCTTGTCTGGCTCAATGAGCCAGGACACTATGCACAAACAGGCTCGGACGCACAGTCCCAGCCCTGAGCTCTTTTTACTGCAGGAAGTCACAGGGCAGCACACACCGGAACCAAGAAGTAGAAACCAACTCCATCTCTGCTTTAATCCGTTTTTTAGAGGAAGAATCAGAATTACACTAATCCTTCTTTCACATGATAAAGTGACATATGTTTTAAACTATGTGGGCCTGTATTACATGGGCTCAGAAATCTATTCATTTAACAAATACAAATGTAGAAAACAAAGAATAAGAAGCAAAAGGTCACAAATGGCCAGAAAGTGACTCTTTTTTCTCTCCTGAGGCCGGGGGATTAGGGGCCCTCTTGACTGTCACATACTTGCCCCCAGGGCTCGACCCAACTCCTCTACACACACAGAGACGCAGCCCCCGCTCCAGGGCAAGTTTCCCGGGCTCCTCTCTCCCCTGGCACTAGGGGAACAGACCTCAGCAACCCGCTGCCCACCCTGAGGCTACACTACCCGTTATACCTGAAGTTCCTTCGGGGAGCTGGTGACCAGGAGCCGCCGGAGGAAGAGCCAGAGCTGGAGTGGCTGCGGGGACAGAGCTGCCGACCGGCCTTGCTAGGTGGGCTCTGGTAGGGGCAGTGGTCGGAGCAAGGGGGGCTGACTCCTGAGTCCTCTCCATCATTGTCCTCCTCCCTCTCTTCCTCTTCCTCCAGGAGGAAGCTGCTTTCCCCACTGCTGCTGCTGCTGTCCTCAAAGACCTCGTACTCGGGGCTCTCACATGAGGCCGGGTCTGCGTCCTCCAGGGCAGTCTCCAGCAGCCCAAAGTGCTTGGTGAGGCTGGCGCGGATCTCGTGGTCTCTCAGTTGCACACTGTCCTTGGGTGGCACACAGGCGTCACAGCTCTGGCCCTCCTCCTTCCTCCAGGCCTGCATCTCAGCCCGTGAAGGGGCGCCTTGCTGGGGCCAGTCCTCGAAGGGGGCCCCAGATGGCTCCCAGGACCTCAGCACCTTCCTCTGCAGGGCGCCCTCCGGCCTGAGCACCTGGCAGTAGTCATGGTCTCCAAAGGAACAGGAGAAGGGGCGCTTCTGGCCAGCCTGGGAGGCGGGCTGAGTTGTGACATGCCGCAGGTGGGACAGGAGCTCGCTCCGCTCTGAGGGCTTCTTAGGCAGCTTGTGGGCAGCTCCTGGGGCAGCCTCGAGCTTGAGGGCCTCAGGAGAGGGGAGGCTGGGAGCTGTCTCTTGGCCTGGGCTGTGCTTGACGTCTGGCTTGAAGGGATCCTCCTCTGTGGGCTTGTAGGGAGGCGTGGTGGGGGGCGTGAGTCCTGCCCAGGCAAGAGCAGAAACATGTAAGGGGAAGCCAGACCTCTGCTCCAAGGGACACTAAGACCTTAATTTGGGACGGTAAAGGAGTGGTCGCATGCTATCACCCCCCAGACTAATGGATGGCAGGCATCCCTAATGGATCACGGCGCTGCTCGCTGCCTGAGCCTGGATGTGGCACTGGCATGTGATAAGAAGCATTTGCCATCCCTTCTGTGGCTTGGTAATGGCAGCTGAAGCCTCAGAGCCTAGAGATCCTATCCCACCTGCAAACATTCAGTGAGCCCTGACTTGGGCATCTCTTGGTGTACAGCAGGACAGACACCACAGGTGAAGCTGCCCACTGGATTTGGCCACCACAGTGCCCTTGGTTTTCCTGCACCAGGCCGTGGTGTTCTCTTTAATGTACCACAGGGACTTGCTACAATGCCCAGCTCTTCCTCTCTGGGGCTCCTGAAGCCTACAGGACAAAGGCCAAACACCTCTGCATTTTGTTCCTTTTATGACTGCTCTTTCCCAGCCCCCACCCCCGCCCCAGTTCGACCACACAGCAGGACCAGGTGACCGCTGTCTCTGACACAGCCTGTATTCCCACTCCTCCAGTGTCTCTGCCTGTGCTGACTCTGCCCCGAAGCACACCGCCTTTGTCTTCCAGTGCCTGTTCATCCTGCAGGACCAGCTCAGATGTCCCTGCCCTGGTGCCCGGGGGTCTGCTCAGGCCACACTCCTGCCCAGTCTCAACCCTCTTGTTCTCCCAGAGCTCCTGTTCATACTTTAAAGGGAGTGCATATCAGGCTGTGCTCTCAGGGTGTGAGTCTGTCCCCCCTGCCCCTAGACCTCGGGCTTCCCCAGGGAAGAACCGGGGACCCGGATATCACCTCATGTGCCGATGACTGGCAGCTGAATGGCTGGCCCCCAGGCCCCGACCCTCCTCCTAGGACATCCTGTTTGTGCAGTCAGTGCCCCGCGCAGCCTGTGGGGCGGTGGCAGGGAGGGCTCACTGGGCACCCGCACTGCCTGTGGAGCTGTTCAGTGTGCGGCACTTGTGGCCGGGGGCCTTGCCACCTCCCTCAAAGGCACTGCAGCAGCTGAACCCCCCAGCTCACCTGCCGTGCCACAGAGCTCCACCGTCAGGGCCTGCTCAAAGCTCTTCTTGCCAAAAGGAGGGCCGCTGGGGAGAGGGGCAGGGAGGACAGAAAGGAAGGAGGCTGGTCAGCAGGAGGCTCCCACTGCCCCAAGCACTCAAGGAGGGCAAGGGCAGACTGTGGCAGATTCCGGCTCTGCTCTCATGGGTCTGGGAGAATTTGCGGGGGGAACCCTCACCCTGGCTGTTGGAGGAATTCAAGGTGCACAGCTTTTAGGACACACACAGGCCTGCTGGAGTGTGAGGAGAAGACACGTCATGCACATTGCCAGCTTTTCCCCATGGAGAAAAGAACTCCTTTCCGGGCCCTGGAGAGGAGAGCTCAAGAAATGTCCTCAGGGCTTGATTCTCCATCTTTGCCCTGGGCCTGCAGAGACCAGCTTCTAAAAACCAACTTTCTTTGAAGGGAGCTCAGCTCCTGTTCACCCCTGATGACAACTAGGGCAGAGGCCTAGGAACAGGGCTGGGCTCAGGGGCAGAGAGACCCTGCTACGCTGAACTCACAAACCCAACAAGACAAAACATTATAAATAATATATCAATAATTTTTAAAAAATCTACCTTTGCGACAAGGCCAGCAGGAGGCACCTTGAAGACTCTGAAAAGAAGACCAAGAAAGAAAAGGAAAATAAGATTCTTCACTGTGGCACCACAAGCAGATGTTTCCCCGCAAGGAGACCTCAAGCTTCCAGGGCAGCTGGCCCAACCCCCTCACCCTTACTAGGGAAGGACAGGAACAAGCCCAGGCTACTTCCCACTCCGGGTCTCGGAGGGCGGCTCTCCACGATTGTACACAAAGAGCAAATGTGCACAGGTGTCCCCTGGCCAGAGCATGGCACCATGGTATAGAGCTCTCACTCTCGAGTGCTACAGCTGGGGAGTCCAGCATAGGGCGGAGCCCTCAAGAGCTCTGAGCCTCAGTTTTTGTATCTTAAAATGGAGAAGGTCACCATGTCTGCCACATGGGTTTCTTGTGCAGAGTGAAAGGGAGAAGGTATGTTAAGCCTTCGACCAGCAAGTACACAATAGGTAACTATTATTATCATTACTACTATCATCAGTGTTTAAAAGCCAACCTCATGGTGAAGCTGAGCTTATAAACTGGCATCTCTGTTACATCACCCCTCATAGGTCTTCTTTAGACACTTACCAAATTTATAATCAGCTTCCTTTTGGTTTTGACTGCCCCTCTCTCTCACTGAAATGTAAGCCCCATGAAGGCAGGCAGGCATTTTGCTCCTTTTTCATTAATCACTGCCTTGCCCATGGGTACATCAGGGGTGTACAGGTGCTTTCCTGAGGATTTCTCCCAACAGCTCACCGTACAGAAAGGAAAGACAGAGAGGGGAAGAGACCTGCCCACTCTGCACAACACTTGGGGGCATAGCCTGGAACACTCCTGGCTGCTAGCCCAGTAGGACGCGCTGCACCCACCCCTGCCCCCGCTTGCAGGCTGGTGGCTCCGACTACCTCTGGAAGGGAGCTGTGGGCAGCTGGGGTCGTCATCCGTGTCCCCACACCCACTCTCGCAGGGACTCTCCAGGGCAGGGATCTGGGGTCCCCGTGGGAGCTGCTGCTCCTGCGCACTGCCCTCATCCGTGGGGCTGCCCAGCTGTCTCTCCATGTCGCAGGCTTCAGGGGCCAGGTGCAGTGAGGGCAGAGCACCTTGGGGCGCAGAGGGGACCAGCAACTCATCAGTGAATGTCAGCCGGGCGCCCAGGTTGGGGTTCAGTCTCCGAGAGCGCCGCACAGGGCACGCAGGGCTCTCCAGCTTTCTCCCCAGCTTGGTCCACGGCAGATCTTGGCCTGGCCTCTTCCTGCCCCATTCCTCCTCCTCCTCCTCTTCTTTTTCTTCTTCCTCTTCCTCCTCCTCGTCCTCCTCCTCCTCGCCCTCCTCCTCCTCTTCCTTCTGCTGCTGCATTCTGGCAGACCGGCTGGCATCCCCTCTCACCCGCAGTCGCAGTGGACGCAGGCTCGGCCTGGGCCCCGAGCTCCTGGGTGAAGCTGTGACCCTCACCTCCTCTGCAGGGGAGGGGCGGGCAGGGGAGGCCTGTCTGTCTCTCGGGAGCCTGGCCCTCGACTGGGGGGTAAGGGAGGCGTAGACAGGTGTGGCCAGGCGGTAGGGTTTACTGACATCACAGAGGACATCTTGAGCCAGAAGTTCTCTCAGGATGGAGAACTCAGCACAGGAGGGCTTGGAGGGGTGCCGGTGCGGGGGTCTGACCTGCCTGGAGGGGCTGCCGCAGGGCTGGGGGGCCGGTTCGGGGGCCGGTGGGGATAGCTTCCTCTGGGGGAGGCAGTAGGTATGCATGTAGCGAATGAGCTGCACCATCGCCTGCATGTCCTCTGGGGGAACCTGGGCACAGGGGCTTGCCCTTCCCGGCGTCACAGGGTCCCAGCGAGAGGCCTGGGCTGGCTGGGGGCTTGCACAGTCCTCCCCGGGCAGCTCGTCCTCCTTGGCACAAATGTGGGGGCTCAGGGGCAATGGCAGTTGCAGGCCTCTGTCTGGAGAACAGGCGTTCACCCGGGGGCAGGATGGCACCGAAGTTAGGTGCTTATGTAGCTCTGTGCAGCGCCGGCTCTGAGGCTGTGGCACAGGAGCCTTCTTGTCCTGTGTGCTCTCCATCTAGAGAGGGAGAGAGGCCCGAGTGAGGCGGGAGGGACGCATGCTCCTTCCCTCTGCCCCACCCCAGCCCCTTGCTGGCCCAGCCGCCTTACCCAGGCCATGAGAATCTAGGTGTCCATCACTCTGCCCTGACCCTCCAACACAGAGGCAGCACCTCCTTGTGCTCAGGTGGTGAGGAGTAAAGGAACACCCAGCCCAAGAGGCTTCCCCACCACGAACTGACCCTGCAGAGCCTTCTAGATGCAGGTCAGAGGCCTGCTTGGCCCATCCTGTGTCCCTTCTCCATACGCTCCAGGCACAGGGCCAGGACCTGAGCTGGTGGCTGCCAGTGGTGGGGAACAGGACGGCTTCACTGCAAATGGGGACACCGGGGTCCTTCAGGGAGATGGGAATGTTCTGTAGCTGGAGCGTGGTCATGGTTACAACACTACACACTTACTAATAATCATAAAATTATATGTTTAGGACAGGTGGCTTTTAGCAGGGCACCGGTTGTCCCAATATTCAGGAGTCTGAGGCAGAGGGATCACTTGAGCCTGTGAGTTCAGACCAGCCTGGGTAGTACAGTGAGACTCCATCTCAAAAACAAGCAAAGGTAGCTTTTATGATATACGTGGTACTTGAGAAACGTTGTTATAAAAAGAGAAACAATTGGCTTGGTATGCTGGCACATGCCCCGAATCCTAGCTCTTGGGGAACTTGAGGCAGAATCACAAGTTTGAGCCCAGCCCAGGTAACTTAGCTAATTAACAAGGACCTGTCTCAAAATAAAGAATTAAAAAGGGCTGGGATGTAGATCAGTGTGAAGGTCCTGGGTTCAACCCCAGTTTAAAAAAGAGGAAGAGGAAGAGGAAGAGGAAGAGGAGAGGGAGAGGAGAGAGCAAGAGGAGGAAGAGAAGGAGGAGAAAAATTCAGCAGCTTTCCAGTGCCCACAGGATAAAGGGAGGCTCCTGGGGCAGGCGCCCACACCCTCTGCATGCCAGCATTAGCTGACATCTCTCTCAAGCCTTGCCTGCCCATGTGTTCCTGCATGGAGGCTTCCCTTCCAGTGCCACCTTTTCCTGGGGCTTCCTCACAATGGTCCTTAGCTGTGTCACCTCACTTAGAAACCTCCTAGTATCCCAGAGGGCAAAGACCTGGCCCTCCAAGAGCTCAGCTACTGCAAAATGGAAAGCAGGAGGGTGGGCTTGTGCTTCAGGAGGTCAGTCGGGACAAACAGGGAGGGAGCAGGACAAGCGTGTGCACAGACAGCAGGGGCAGGTGTAAGTACAGCTGCACGGAGCACGAGCCCCTGGGAATCGCCCACATCAACCCTCCTTGCCAGGCTTGGGAGATGAGGCCCCAGAGAGGGTTGCTTTGATCTTTGTGTTCTGAGCTCCAAACCTGCCAATGGCTCCCCAGAAAATAAATCTCAACATTTTATTGAACTCAGCCTGTACACCCAGTGAAGATCCTGCTTCCATCTGTCATCCCATAAATACAAACCTTGAGGGCAGGCCCCTCCGTCCCTGCGCCGACCAGTGTTAACCTCTAATGGCAACTGAAACCCTCCAGTGTGAGGAAATCCAGGGCTCTCTCTAGAACCCCAAACGGGGCTGTATCTTAAGGAGCAGAGCCCAGGACGATGGCTCTACGATTGTGTGAGGAGAGTGGATAGAGACTAAAGTGACTGAACCTGCCACGTGTGGCCCGAGTTGATGACTGTGTCATGGAGTGGCCCCCTAAGGGCTGGGCTAACTTCTGGGCATGTGCATAAATACCTTGACCCATGGCCGTTGACTCCTGGATCTGAGGCCAGCCTGGCGCCAAGTGGTCCCCTCCTTCTGAGGGTCAGAGCCTGACGGTGGTGAGGATGTGGCCAGGAGGAGCTTCTGCAGCTGCACAGGAGCAGAGAGAGACACAGAGTCTGGGGCAAAGCATGGCCGGGCATGAGGACCACAGCCAGCTTGAGGAGGATCACACCTTACCTGGCACTGTGGTGGGACTGTGGTAAGGGCGTGTGATGCCCTAGAATGATGCTCCTGACATGAGTGCAGAAAGTGCATTGTGTAATAATCCCCCACACACAAATATCACACTAAATGTAAACTCTTCTCAGAGTCAATAACCCAAGAGAATAGCTGTGACCTTGAGAAACGAAACTGCTCTTGGGTAACGCTTAACCATTCCGCTGTTAAACTATTATCGGGACATTCTGCGTACACTTTCGGTATACACATACATACAGTCCTGTGAGGTTAGGTACCAGAAGTGTTATCTGAAGTGGATTCCAGCTGATTTCCTTTAGTTCATTCATACTGACCTTTAAAAAATAAATTTCTTGAACTAAATAAGTGACACATATAGTGTTAAATCTGTGTCTATCTACCTACCACAAACACTAATGACTGGACAATTAAAAGCATCTCCCTCCTTTCCTCAAAAAACTAAAACTAGAGGTTCCATTTGACCCAGCTATTCCCCTTCTTGGTATCTTCCCAAAAGAATTAAAAGCATCGTACCTCAGCAATACATGCACACCCATGTTTATAGCAGCACAGTTTGCAATAGCTAAATCTTAGAAACAGCCCAAATGCCCAGCAACCAATGAATGGATAAAGGGTTTATATATATATATATATATATACACACACACACGATACATTATTATATATACTATACAGTATATAATGTATTATATATACATTATATATTATATATAATATATATATATTGTGTGTATATACATATATATATACACACACACACAATGGAGTACTACTGAGCCACAAAGAAGAATAAACTTGAGACATTTCCAGGTAAATGGATGGACCTTGAGACCATACTCTTAAGTGCAATACATCAGACACTCATGTGTAAATATCACACTGTTTCTCTGGTGTGAGAAACTGAAAGTGTAAATAAGGACCAACATGTACAATAGATATTGGGAAATGGAAAGAAAATGTTTAAATGGGCAAGGGAACTAGGGAGGGGGAGGGGGAAAGGAAGGAAGGGAAAAGAAAAACAAGAAAAGAAGGAAAAAATGGAAACAAACCTTTTGCAAATAAGGAGGGGAAGATGGGTTGAAGGGAGGGGTGGGGATTGAGGAAAAACAAGGCATCAAGATATATCATGTACAGGTGCAAATCCCCTGTCATGAGTGTTATCATTATATAGATCTAAAATGTACCATTAAACTTAGTTAATTTTTTTAAAAAGCATCTCCCTCCTATCCTAGGTCTCTTTATTGTTCCCAGAGGCAGCTGGCACGAACTAGTTTCTTGTGCACCTATCATGAGACGGGCCTTCCCCATATAAGAACACAGAGGTCCATGTCACCTCCAACCCCTCAGCCGTTTTTGCACATATGGAATAATGTTAAACTTTAGCTTGTCTTTTTTTCCCCAGATAATTTTTCTACAGAGATTGTTGAAACTCGCCTGCTTTTGCACCCTACAGGCGGATGCACGGTGCGTCCTAGCTGACGTACCCAGGATCCATCATGGCCAAGGATGAAAACATGGCAGGAAACACAGTGGGATTTTACTACAGTGTCAACTGTTTTCTGGGAACACCCACCTGCCCCCACCGCAGCAGGAGCACAGGCCCAGGAGCCAGAGGCGAGGCCATGCCCTATGCTCCTAAAGAGCTGAAGGACCCCCACGGCCTCACTTGGACCTCAAATCAACATACATCCTGACTTTGGATAGAAAAGACCTCGGACCAGAGAAAAGAGGCCTGGCCACCCAGCTCAGCCCCACTCACTATGCGTGAGGCCTGGGGCAAGCTGCTTCCTCCTCTGGGCCTTGGTTTCTCCATTGGCGGAATGAGGGGCAGGGAGGTGCAATGGCTGGATCTGAACCTTTTTTTGATTCTAACAGTACAAAAGAAGCTGCTGACCTCAGAGAAATGCACAACTATGTAGAGCTCCAAGCATCCTCCTAAGTCTATGGTGGGTGCTCTGGGACCCTCGGCGAGACCTAGGGCCTGAATAACTTGGCAGATCTGTCTAGACCTGCTAGTATGCTGAGAGTGTAGACAAGGGGTCTGCTACCTGTGGCCCTAAACAGAAGAGCCTTCCAGTGCATGAAACAGAGGCACTCAAGAGAGGAACAAGCGTGAAGAGTCTAAGGGATGAGAGGTAAACAACCTTTGACCAGCAGGGGTCGCTCTTTGCCTCGCCAAGATTTAGTTCCTCTAAGGCCCTGTGCAGAAATGGCACTGAGAATTCTTGTTACTACTACCAAGGTCATGCTGGAACAATGCCTTAGCTAATGTTTACTGAGTAAGTCTATGCACCAGGCACTGTTCTAAGTGCTCCTCATATATGACCTGCTCTAGTCTCAAATGCTCTTTGGGGCAACGACGGTTATCTACCCACAACCTCACCACCACCAAGAGGTGAGGAAGCTAAATCAGAGGGCCCGTAAAAGAGGGTGGGTGCCTAAGGGGCCCACAGGCACTACTTAATGGGACTGGAATTCAAACCCAGGTGGTCTAAGTCCAGTCTGGAAAGAAGCAGGAGCCCCTCAGCAGGAGCCACGATGTGAGACAACGTATTCTGTACCAGCCCATCTACCTGTTTCCTAAACGTTTCCCACTGCTTTGGGGACCCTGAAGGCAGCGGGAGGAAAAGCAAAGGATGCTAGACCAGGAGTCTGAACACCTGGGCTCTAGTCTTTGCTGGGACACCAACTTGCTGTGTGGCCATGGAAGAAATCCTCCCTACCCTAGGCCTCAGTTTCTCCAGGGTTGGGCTTGACAGTCACCAAGGGCCTTTCTAGCTCCATCTCTCCATGACCTAAGAACCTCCCTGCTCTGACAGGCTCTGATTTCCCAGCTGGACCCCACCAGCGCCAGGAGCCACATCTCCAAGGTGAGGGAGGAGCCCGAGGAAGCTACACCAAGCAGGACTGCGCAGTCACAGCACGGCTTCAGGAACATCAGCACCTGCCTGCAGCACCTCGTGAGGTCCAGACCTTGTGACAGTCTAAGCACAGCCGACACCTCCCCAGAAAGCTCTCTTCTGCGTGCATTTGTCATCCCACGTACTCTCACGCAGACAGCACTTGACTTGTGCTGGGGGAGGGCAAGCGAGTCTGACCTCACTGGAAGGTCATCTGGAAGGGTCTGTCCAAACTGAAAACTCATGAGTGCACAGACCAGGAGTTCCACTTCCCGGAATTTATCCGCTGATGAGGGGCAAAGCCTGTACATGCAGAGTGACTAAGCACTGCCTGTGACAACGCAGGCGTTGAAACAACAAAAATACCTCCCAGCAGGGGTACGGGGTAAATAAAGGCCGGCATATCCTAACCCAGAAACACTACACAGCCAAGAAGGATGAAACTCTTCATTTGGAAGAACTCCCCAGACACACAGCAAGTAAGAAAGCAAGGTGAGGAACTGTGTATATGTAACACAGGCTTCCTATTGTAGTAACAAACAAACAAACAAACAAATGAGATCTGTAACCAGGGTTACCTCTAGAGAAGGAAGAAGCGATCCTGAGAGGGTGAAGGAGGTTTTGCTTTTAACTGTCCATATTTGCTGCTTGAATTTTTACCGGTCTACATAATCTTTAGAAAAACATTTGCATGTAATTTCAAGGATTTAACACATGACTGAAAACCTTTGAAAACCCAAGGAGCCTTCAGAACACAGGTGACACCTCCTCCTGCTGCCAGGTGGCACCCACTTTTGGTCCAGACTCTACCAGGAACCACGGTGCCATCATGCACAGCAAGCCCAGTGGTGCCCAGGTCAGTGACACTGCACCCAATCCCAGGTCACCACCATCGCCTCAGCCAGAAACAGGTTCTCACCAGTGAAAATTCATCCACCTCAGAGGCTGGGGGCAGGGGCTTCTCTGGGGCAGGGCTGGGGGGCGCAGACAAGGTGGCAGGGGAAGCTGAGGTGCAGGATGGCGTATCTCCCTCATCCAGGGTCGAGAAGGCAGCCAGTCCCACGTCATCTTCGGGGATGTCGTCCAGGGTCTTGGTGAGTGCCGCCAGGAGGGCCTCATTTTCGCTGTCAATCTGGAACGAAGAGGCAGAGGGGGAGAGCTGACATCTTCTCCTCAGAAAGGCTCTTCTGCGTTCCTTTCGTACATCCCAGCTACTCTCACATGGGTAAAACCTGACTCGTGCTGGGGAGATGCAAACCGGTCTGACCTCATTGGAAGGTCATCTGGTCATTTGTCTAAACTGAAAAATCATGTGTGTGTAGACCAAGAGTTCCACTTCCGGGAGTTTATCCACTGACGTGGGGTAAAGGACAGCTATCTGTGTGGGAAAACCTGCTCTACCCACTCTCCTCTGTAACCATCACCCTCCTGCCCAAAGTTTTCCTCTACCCCTGTTCCCCATCAGATCTGCTCAGCATTCCTGGGACAGCAGATGCCCAATAAATGTGTTGCCAACTCTAAGAACCCCTGTAGGGTGATGAAGGAGAGGGCCCTTTCCTGCAGTCCCAGTCTTGGCTCTGCTACTCGCTAGTGTGACCTGGGGCATAAAGTTGCCCATATGAGCAATGCCTGCCTCTTCCACTAAGGACTGAGGCTGCTCCCCAACACTGTTAGTGGTACCCTTACAGACCCCAGCCCCTTGGACCGTGAGGCCCAGGCACAATGAAGGTTGAGCAAGCCAGGGCTCACCCACGACAGTAACAACCAGAGCAGTAATGAAACAGCTACTGTTTCCCTGTAGGGACTCAGGTTGGGAGCTGGGCCTGAATCCCAGGGCTCAAACTTCCCAAGAGGGGGTCTCTAGGCAAGTAGTTTCCTTACCTGTCAAATAGGATAACAGCACCTATTTCATCAGGCTGTCACTGAGGAGTAGATGAGTTAACATAGGGAAGATGCTTAGGGAAGTACTACCTGGCACAGAACAAGCACTCACTGCTGCTGTGATGACAGTATGCTACCACAATCTGATGGCGATGATGACGGTAGTGATGGTGGTGGCAATTCTTCCTCCACCTTTTGTTCCCTCCTGTCTCCCACAGGGCTGCTCTGCCCCTGGCTTTTGTTGCCACTGGTGATACAGCATGCCAAGATGTCCAAAGCCCTGCCCTCCTGCATCCTGCCCTCCAGTGGCGATAGAATCAAAGTAAAACAGCTCATTGCAAAGCACAGGAAAGGCTGGGAGGCAAAGGAAAGAATGGCTTGGAATGAGAAGAGGAACGTGCCGAAGATTAAAGGCTAACTGGGTGGCCAAGGCAGCTTTCTCTGAGCAGCTGCGTGACAATTAAGCTTAGCTGTCAACTTGATTAACTTAGAAACCACCTAGGGGATAATAAAACACACTTCTGAGTGCATCATGGTGGGTGATGGAGACATAACCTTGGGGTGTATATCTGGTCTCTCCCCACTTCCTGACTGGCACTGTTCCTTGCTGTGCTTCCCACCTGCCATGAACTAGGCAGCTTTGCCCTGCCATGCCCTTCTGTAATGATAGTTCTGCCTTCGAGCCACTGACTATGGACTGAATGTCCTGAAACTGTGAGCAAAATTAAAACCTCTCCTCCTTTAAGTTGCAAATATTTCATCCAGCAGTGGGAAAACTAATTATAAATTCACGTCTCAACTTAGGCTTGAAAGACACCAACCAGGCTGAGGGCTAAGGAACAAAGACCCAGGCAAAAGGGATGCCCAGTGCAAAGGCCTGCGACACAGAGCCCTGCCAAGAGAGAGACACCTGGACAACAGCATCTCAGTGACCCTCACAATCGCCCCTACAAGGGGAGTTCTGTTCTCATGTCCACTTTGCAGATGAAGAAACAGGCTCATAGAGTTTCACCAACTTGCCATGGGTCACCTAGCGTATAATGAGCAGAGTCTGGTCTGGGACTGGGTGTCCCATGCACAGATGGGCCAAGACGCTCTGCTTCCTGCAGGGAGGATGAGCACGCATACTCCCAGTCACCAGGCTGTTAGCCAGAGGCCCAGAGCAGAGATCACACTGCTCCTAGGGGAGGATAAGCACCTCTATCAGTAACCCTGGGTTCCTAGGCCTGTTCTGGCAGAAGCAAATGCTGTCACATGATGCCTCTGCAGCATACTTTCCCATCCCAGGTCAGGCTGTTTATCCTTTCTTCAGGAAGTTCATCTGAAATCCACATCTCGTGACAGCCTGTTGGCTACACTAAATCTGTTCCAGGCCTTGCAGTCAGAACAGCAGCTGAGTAACTCGAAAGGGGGGACATGGGGAGAGGAGAACAAACACATTTGTAATTTTTAGAACAGAGCTAAGAATAAAAGAAAAGTCAAAAAGAAGATCTTGGTTGGACCTGACCCAGGACTGGGGATGGGGGGCCTCTGGGGAGATCAGGCCCATGGACTCTGGCTTTAGAGTGTAATGGGGGCTCCAAGACGGCTGTAAACTACATGAACTGCAAACATGTACAAAACAGACTGCAATGGGGGCTCACTTGGGTGCCCCAGCTCCCACCAGCAAGTCCTCCGTAACCCTTGGGCCAGACTTCCAACCCTCTGTTTCTACAGGGATCTTTCTAGCTTAATGAGAGTCAAGATCCTAGAATTTGGGGCTCAGGGGCCAATTAGGGGCTCTGCCACAGAGTGATGCTGGGAAAGTCATTACCATCCTTTAAGCCTGGTTGCTTACCCATACAATGGGAAGACTGAGCCCTGGCCATCTCCCCTGCAGGGCTGATGAAAGTAGCCCACTCCGAGCCTGGAGTGTGGGAAGCAGCAGAGTGGTTGAGTAAAGGAATGAATAAGGCAAACAATGAACAATGGCCAGTGGCGGGAGACTGGGTTGAGTGTCTCAGAGACTGGATTCTAGAGGGAAGTCATCCAGAAATGACATCACCCATGGTGGGTGGAATGAGAACCCTCGCTCTTTCCCAGGGACTGTAGCAAACGACCCAGAGACATTATGAATTATCATGCCTATTGCAGCTGGAAGGGTCTCAAGGCCAGGTAGTGACCAGCACTGCCAAATACATGTCGCACATACTCCCCCTGTCGGGTGCAGAACCCCAATGGTGGAACCACTGGGAGGCTGCTGGTTCCTTCCACACCAGCATCTCTCTTGACACAGGGCCCCAGGTCACAGCCCCCAATCCATCATATCCAGCACTTGTAAGGAACCCCAGCTGCCGTTCTTTGTGCAGGAGTGGGCTGAAGCCCCAGCAAAGAGATTTATCAAGGTCATACAGCAAATCGAGGCATGAGGGTGAGGACGAGAACCTCGGACTTACTGAGCGCCAGGCACGGGTCGAAATGAGAACAAATGGTAGAGAACTCTCCAAGTACCCACCAGGTCAGGTGAAGAGAAAAGTGCATAGCAGAAGGCCTTCCCCGCCTTCCACCTCCCTGGCTGCTCAGCACTAGAACAGTCTGGGGAGGGCCCAGGGATGCTAAGTGGCAGGGAGGAGAGGTCTCTCCTGCCCGCCCAATCCGCTCCCTCCCTCCATGCTACCCGGTAGGTAGCCGGCATACTGCCTCCCGGGGAGCGGGCGGCCCTCTCCTTTCCCCACACCCATGAGCTCGGCTCCCCCTGCTCCACTCAGAAACAGAGTGCAAATTAATGGAGAGTTAATCAGCTGAGGAAGGGATATTAATAGACTTGGCCCCACCCCCAACCTTCCCAAGCTGATCTCAAGCTGGAAGAAAAAGAGCCTGCAAGAAATCCGAGGGAAACGGCTTCATTCTGGGGACTTGACATGGTGCAAAGGAATGGCACAGAATAGCAAATTTAACTGCCAGGCTGAGAAGACATTCAGAGATCCTCCCCTGTCCAGCAGGTTTTGCTGAGGCACAAGAAACTCGGGAATTGCCCTCTATCCCTTTTCTGGGGGAAAGTCTATGATTTCATCAGAATCTAGACATACACAGTGATTCTCCTCCCCGGCCCTCAACAGATTAAGTCACCAATCTAGGCCATGTTCCTTCATTCCTCACACTGCCCAACCTCGCAGGGCACTGAACAAACAAACACCTGCTTAGTCTAGAAATACTTGCTAAGTGCCCACTGGGCCCAGGCCCTAGGAACTCTGGGGCATACAGAAAAATGTCCGTGTTCCCCAAAATGTTGTCAACCCTCACAACTATAACTTCTTTTCCACTCTCTCAGTTTGCCCATAGCAATGATGCCCTTCCCTTGTTAGAGTACTGCTCTGACACGAGTAGTCAGACTCCACAGTTCCCAGTGCTCCACAAGGAGACTGTCCGAGCTAGTGGCAGGAGGATCAGAACCTAGGGCCCCTGGCCCTCAGCTCAAGGCTTTGTTTGGAATGGGTCATTTCTGGCCCTTGGCAACAAAGGAAAGACTGCACTTGGTTCCATTTAGCAAATGCAAATTGAGTCCTCATAATGCGGGAGAGCTCCAGAGATGACGAAAATGTGAGGGACACATACACTGAGATGGGAGCGCAGGAGAGGAAGCAACCAGCTAACTCTTCAGGAGGCAACACGAGAGCTGGGTGTGGAGACTTTGTTCACAGGACAATGATTCCTAAGTCCCTGATGTGCCGGACACCACAAACAGCATGGACACACCCCGAGAGAGCTTACAATGAATGGCTGCGCCAAGAGGACAGCGCAGTCCCTAACCACAGTGTCACATGCACAGCAGGTGCACCAGTGAGTAGCGCAGGCAGAGCAGGCTCAGGCTGGGGTGTGCAGGCCCGAAGGAGAGAGGGCCTAGAGGCAAAGCTGTGCCCGTGGGACAGCCATTGTCCTCACTGGGCTGGAAGCCTAGGGGCTGCCCCAGGAGCACTTGGGGCTGAAACCATTTCATGCAGTGGCAGGGCATTGGCAGAGAGCTGCTGGGGGTCTGGCCAGGAGTATGTGGGTATGTGGGGTGGGGGTGCATCTTGTGGAGATGTTCCAGGCAGCATCCAAACGCCTCCCCAACATCAGATCTTCACAACCTGAAAATAGTTTCAGGAAGCTGGCCCTCTGGGGGTGGGGGGAGGGAGCAACACTGTGAAAGCATCACCCCCATTCTTCAGGGAAGGAGCTGGAGGACCCGGACAGAGCCAGAGCCAGAGTTTGAGCCCAGCCCTCTGACTCCTCCGGGGTGGGCAAGGGGTTCAGTGTGGTAGTGAGGGGTCGAGGATCTTCAGAGTCTGCCCTGCATCTTCCCTGTGTTTGTTGGACAAGGAAGGTCACCTTTCCCGGCTTCACTTTCCTTACTTGTAAAATGGGTTGTCACTAACACATGACTTATAGATTACAATAGTCCCAGGAGAACTACAAACTCTTTCCATGACCCACGAGAGACTGTGTGCTCAGGGCTCTGCCTGCAGCCCCGACCTCACAGCCTAGCACTTTTCTCTCGGCCTTTCCCGGCTTATTGCTCTGTCCCCTCCTCCTTCGGTCTGGAGCAGTCTGGCCCTGCCCTGTGGACCTCAGGGCCGCCTCCTCATCCCACAGCTGGGACCCACTTGTTCGGGAAGTCTTTCCTGGCTGGCCAGCAGTCTGCAGATCTTCCTACTCCTGGGTATTTCCCTGCATGCTCTGTTCCCAGCTAAGCAGCTGCTGCTGTGTCTGTTTGCTCCAGACGGGGACGTAAGCCGATGGACAGTGCCTGATACACAGGGGCTGCGGCAAGCCTTTCCAGGAGGACTGACAGAATCTGTAGGGAGGATGATCTGAGATGACGCTGTGGCACGCCAGCACACAGGTGGCACAGGACGTGTCATTACATAGGCATGGGCAGCTGTGGTTCCTGCCCCAAACCTGATGTGGAAGAACATTAACGAATGCGAGGCTCCCCATCACCCGGCTTCTTCCATGGCTGATCTTATTTTGTCTCTTGCTCTGCATGCCACACACACACATGTGCACACAGCGCACACAGTTTGCTTTCTTCAGAAGCAAACCCTAGCCGTCATACCCCTCCAGGCTGAGAGGAAACCACACCCATCAAGGCTGTGCAGGGAGCACATGGGTCAACAGGCCTACGCGTGGGGTACTGGCTCTTAATTCAACTGGAATTAGGGATAACTCTGTCTACAACTGAGAGACATTAAGAGTATGGAATGAGTTAGTATATATATACAGGGACAGTCCTACCGCAGAACAGGTGCTCCGTGATGTGAATCCTTCTCTCTCCTGACTCATGAGACAGCAGACTAGACTTGGTTCTAATTCAGCCACTGGCTAGGCAAATTGCCCAAAGTGTATAACTTAACTTCTCAAAGCCTCAGTTTCCCTGTCATAAAATGGGGAAGTAATGACACCTGCCTCACAGGGGAGGATGAGGATTTGATAAGACATGCAGGGAACAGAGGACTTGGAGCCCCACAGCCCTCAGGGGAGCTTGGTTCTGCCAGGGAGGCACAGAAGGGGCAGCGCAAGCCCTTCTTTTCCAGAGGTGATAACTTGGGTTGAGTGAGGGATGGGAGCTGCCCCAGGTCATGTGCAGATCCAAGACAAGCAGCAGGGTCCCAAAAGCTTGGGTGGGTGTGCAGACTTCTGGATGAGCAAAGGCGGGGGCTGCAGGAGAGGGCAGAGAGAGGCATGCAGGGCAGGGGTGAGGCTGGGCCCTACCTGGAAAAGCTCACAGTCATCAGGGCTGTACTGGCTGGGCTCCGTCTCAGAGTTCTCCGGGCACCACTGCAGCTCCCCAAAGCAGGTGGCTGAGTCAAAGTCGCTGGCATCCAGCTGGGAGAGGTCGAGCTCGGGAAAGTCAGCGCAGAGTTGTTCCTCTCCGGATCCCCCACCCTGAGGAGACAGGAAGGAAGGAGGTGGATCAGAGCTGAGCGAGACTGGACCCAAGCACAGGCCCTTGTACTCACAACACTGCAGATCTGGATCCTTAGCCAAGGCCCCATAATTCCCAATGACCAACAAATATATAAGATCTGCGCCCCCTCCCCTGGGTCCTCTCTTTTTTTCTGTGTACTCCTATACATCCCTCAAGGCCCTGCCTACATGGCATGTCTTTTTTCTTACTGGAGCTATTTTGTTGACAACTTTATTAGAATCTGTAAATAGAGTTATTCCTTTACACAACTGTCCCCCATAAGGGGATTTCTTAAAGTTAACCACCCCTTAATATTCAAATTGAAACAAAATACAGCAATAATGATGGCTAACATTATTGAATGATTATAAGGTACTGAATAAACACCCATGTTCCCAGGGAATTTAGAGAGATATTTTTAATATCTCCAGTGTAGATCACCCATTGGTAGAGAAAGCCATAATACATCTGTATCAAGAAATACTACTGTTGCCAGGGATATAGCTCAGTGGCATAAGCGCCTGCCTGGCAAGCACAAAGTCCTGAGTTCGATTCCCGGTACTAAAAAAAAAAAAAAGTGTGCAAGAAATACTACTGTTACTGAAGGATGAGGCAGATGTATGGATCATCTCCAGGACATGTCAAGTAAAAAACTGAGTTGTAGAATACAACCCCACATGTATAAAGGGAATGAAAGAACACTAGAGCTATGCATTTTTCGATGCAGGATAGCACGTATACAAACACACAGGAAGAGGCCCTGCAAATCGCACAGCCAAGGGACAGTGCGTGGTGGGGCAGCAGCAGCAGCATCTGAGTCAGCAGTTCTTGCAGCGTGGTCAGGGGTCCGCCACGGGAGCACCACCGAGGCACTGGCTGGGACAGCAGTAATGCAGACTCTCAGACCAGTCCCAGAACTCCCGAGTCAGAAGGCACTGGCCACTTTTTCACTCAGTCTCCCAAGTTTAAGTCACCAACACAAGTGAATAAACAGAGATTCAGAAGCTGACACAGCGGTAGAACACCACAGCGATAGGTGGGTGGCCCAGGGACCTGGCAAATAGGGGCCAAAGCCCCTACTCCCCAGCCATGGGACTTTGGGCAAGTCCCTTCACCCCTCTGAAATCCAACAACCTCATCTGTAAAATGGGACAGCACCACCACCTGCCTCACAGGGTTAAGAGCAAAAGAGGTGATTTACAGCCTGGCCCACTAAGTGTTCCCTAAATGTCAGCTCACAGTAATGATGCAAAATGATGCTGCCAATAATGAAAACAGCGGTGCTCATGGCAGGGAGGGAGGGACAGGACCTGTCTGAGAGAACAAAAAAAGGCAAACATGACACCAACGAGAAGTAGGTTTTGCCCAGGCCTTTTCCTTGATTGTTCCCACTTACTAGGCCTCATAAATTATGAATAAATGTATATAATTAGCTCAACTTGACACAGGAAAAAGGCTTTTATCCAAATTTGGGTCAAACGCCTTAATTGGCATTTTGCAAGAATTCTGCCTGCACAGGCAGCACCAGGGCCAGGTCCTCCAAGAAGTGGTTCCCAAGCTGCGTCTCGGGCCGAGCCCTGCAAGTGGGACGTGCCCCCAATATCCTGTGCTGTGCCCATGTATTCTTCCTCCAGTATACATAGATTCAGCGGCCCTAAACATGGAGCTGTGAGTCGCCCTGAGATAGACACTGTGCCGGCTGATATAACCAGGGCCAAGAAGACAGAACCCCTGTCTTCTTGGAGCTCACGTGTGTAGAAAAGGGAAGATAGTATTAAACACATAATTATGAAAATGAAACGTGATTATAGCAGTTCTCCCTTACATGTGGTTTCAGTTACCCATGACAACTGTACTCTGAAGATATTAACCACTTAACAGTTTACCCTTAGTGTCATTTGGGTAGTGCATTTATTTATGTACTAACTATCCTGAGGGTCCCTTGAGCAGGTGTCCTTTCAACCAGTTGATTCTTGTATTGAATAAATTTGATAAAATTGTCATTTTAATATTTCCTGTTACCTTATAAAAGACTAAGGAAAAAATATGCAATTTTGTTATTTTGTATTGAAATAACAGGACTGGTAAGTGGTTAAATAGAAAATTCCAGAAATGGGCAAAGCTGAGTTGCACGATGAAATCCTGAGTAGTCCTTCTGTGTCCCACTGGAGCATGAGGCACCCCTTAGTCCAGTATATCCACACTGTATACACTACCCTCCTGCCAATTGATTAGTGGCTATCCTGGTTAGCAGACTGACAGTGGGACTTGTGTACAGGTAGCCCTTTTTTTCCTGACTTGTGCCACCAAAGTGCAAGATATGCCAAAGAAAATCCACAACAGGTTTTCCATAAATAAAAGATAAGAATGAATCTTCTGTCTATGAATTTGTGAAAACAAAAGAAGCCAGCTTTTCTCTCACACCTCAAACTGCAGAAGTTAGGGAGACAGTACACGGTAAGTGCATGGCTAAGATGGAACACGCATTGAATTTGTGAATGTATGTATAGGGGGAAATTATACAGGGCTTTGTATACTATCCATAGTTTCAGGCATCCACTTGGGATGCTGGAACACAACTCCTGATAATAATAAATTGTGGTTCTCCAAAAAACAGCTGAACACTTCTGAGCCTGGTTGAGATCCTGAAGATGTCTTAACTTTTGAGTGCCCAAGGTAATAGCAGCCCCCCAGTAAGCCTGACTCTAATCTACCCCAACCACAAATCATACCACGCAACAGCTGCCCTACCACAGGAGACTCAGGTGGATTCCCTCAACTGCCTCTTGGGAGCTCCTGTACCCTTCAGTCTGGGGAAGTGGCAGTTTTTCCCCACTGTCTAGTAGTAGACAGACATTTCATTTGTTTCTCACTTGGGGCCCCTGTGAATAAGTCTTCAATATTTATGTACAATTCTTTGTGTAGACAGATGAATTTCTCTTGGGTAAGGATCTAGCAGTAGAATTGCTGGGTCATTTGTTAAGTGTATATATAGCTTCATAAAAACAAACAAGTGTTCTCCAAAGTGGTTGTACCAGTGTCCATGCCCATCAGCTGTATGAGAGTCCAACTGTTTTGCACTCTCACCAGTACTTGATGTTTTAATTTGAACCTCCCAAGCACTTATTCAATGCTACCAGGAGCCAGGTAGTATGACATATAAGACTCGGTTCCTTCCTTTGCATGTTGATATCTTTATGAGGAAGAAAATATATTCTTCCTACTTCATTACAGGCTGGGTTAGTGCGATGAAGCGGAAACAAACCAGCTGTCCTGGTGGAGGACAACAGAGGGAGGGGACTCCGTCTTAGATGTGGGTCTCAGGATATGCTTCCTGGAGTTGAGACATGAAGGAGAAGCCAGGCAATAGAAGAAGTAGGAGGAGTGTTCCAGGCAGGGGATCAGCAGAAGCAAAGACCCAGGGGGTATAGAGCCGAGGGGTCGAGGCTCTGAGGTCACTGAGACACAGCTCAGTGAAGGGGGAGGTGACGGGAGAAGGGGACACCAAACTGGCAGGCAGAAGCCAGGTCAGACTGGGATTGCGAGGGAGTGGGGTTTTACTCCAGGTGGGACAAGGTGGGGCCAGCATGGAAGCAGGGAGAGGGGTTAGGCTGCTAGGGCCATCCAGAGAGGGACAGGTTATGGGGCTGGGGAGCCACCACTTGGATATCACCTGGGACCTGCAGAATAAGAGGGAGGGACAACTGCAGTTGCAAGGCTGCTGAACAGCACAGGCCCCCTTGAGCAGCAGAGCCCCCAGCCGTAAGCTCTCTGGGGAGCACTTCCTCTCCCCCGAGGGACTCAAGTGGCCATCTCTGTGGCCTTGCTTCTTAGAAGCTGCTTTAGAATCAAGAGTCCCAGAATCCCTGACCAGACAGGCAGCAGTCCAGAGAGGCACCGTAGGTGGGTCACAGTGGACAGTCCAGGAGTCAAGAGTCCCCTTCAAGAACTAGCTAGAAGCTCTGGATGTACTTCCCCCAAATGCACGAGTGTGTGGGAAATTTACATGTGACTTTCAGGCCTTCAAAGATGTGGCTTAAGACCTCCTGCCCTAGTTACTCTATCTTCTCTACTTCACAAATATGGACACTGGGGCCCAAGAAGGGCAATGGGTTGGCTTGAGGTCATCCGGTGACCGTCCTTCTCATGAAACTGCGCCACCTCCTTTAGATACCGCCCAGAAAGTGGCTACGACCCTGTGCTCGTTGATTACCCACAGTGGCTCCGCGGACACAAAGTGGAGCCAGCACATAAACTAAATCAACCTTCGCTTCCCAGCTTTGTCAGTTAGGCTGGAGACCACTCTCCAGCTAAAAATACATTAGGCCCTGCACAAATGGTGATTTCTCGGCCTTCTCCATATTTAGAGGCTTTTGAAGGGGTGCCTCGGGTGACCCAGTTCTCTTCAAAAAGTCTAAACTGCCTTGCTAGGAGGTCCAGCACAGGCCAAACAGGCACTGCTATTACTGGGCACTTACTGCATGCCGAGGGCCTTGTGCCTCACATGCGCCTTCTCATCAGAGTCTGACCGCAGCCCCCGGGCAGACGTTACTGTCCCTGCATACACGTCAGGAGGCTCCAAGATCAAGTCACCTGCCCAGGCTGCTGTGACAAAGGACTGTGTCTGGGTGGTGTGAGTGCGAAATGTGAAGTCTGAGTGCAAGCTGTCGCCAGGCCTCATTCCTCCTGTGGGCTGAGGGAGGGGTCTGACCCAGGCCTCTCTCCTTGGCCTGTGGACGGCTGTCTTCTCACTCCCTCTCCCTCTGTGTGCGTCTGCTCTGCCCAAATTTCCCCTTGTAACAAGGACATCAGCCATATCAGATCAGGGCCCACCCTAAAGACCTCATTTCACTTGACTTTCTCCTCAAAGACCCTATCTCCAGGTAAGGTCGCATTCTAAGGCAGCAGCCATTAAGGCTCCAATGTGGTGTTGGTTGGTTGGTTGGTTGGTTGGTTGGTTTTTTGGAGGACACAGGTG